CTGGGATAGCCAGGCGCTTAAATGCAGAGCCATCGTCGTGTCTACACCTCTCGTTACGAGCATCTTTGTGCGGCACAGTGATAGTCGGCGGTATCTCTCATGCTCTCAGGAGCTTTCTTGACCCGTTGACATTTGAGCTACTCGAATCTGGGCCTGCCTTGCAAGGCAATTCGACCACTTCTTGATCATCCCAACTGGCGTATATGAACCTGGATCAGACTTTTGTTGGACGGTCTTCTCGTCTGCAAACCATCTTATACCTTCATTCCATTCCTCGAGAAATAGAATAAGCTGTTGTGCAAAAGTGAATACCTAAGTCGTCGTGGTGGGACTTTATATTACTTTCAGTCGACCATCCCTCCTGCTTCTTGCCGCCGACGCCTGTTTCGTCCTCCTACTTGTTTCATCGAACGTTTCATCTTTTCTCGCCACGCATCAGTTCATTCGCTCTCTGTCTAGTCTAAGCGCGTGCCCAAGTTTTGCTCTATGTATCCTCAAACTCCTTCAGGGTTCGGCGGCCAAATGCCGTATGGCCAGGCCACTCCAGGGCATGGTGATGGATTGGATGAATACTATGAGGCATTACCGCCTCAGTGGTCCGGTGTTGAAACGGTAGGCCAATCTTGCCGTGACGTTTGTCGGGTGTTTCAGCTGGCTGACCAAACATTTGCGCTGCTCAGTCTCCATATTTAGCAATGAACCATCCGGACTCTACCGCTGCAGCTGCCTATCCGTCCGCCGCTATCTTAACACCAATCAGTCTCCCAGACAACTCCTTTGTGCACGTAAGATCAAGCCCGGTTCTCAGTCATCATTCGCAAGAATATCAGTACAATATATCCGAAACAGTCCCGCAGCATGGGCTTGGGATCACTGCACCGTTCCCAAGTGATTTTCCACGAACGGTGACGGCGGGTCTGGGGCACGCTATAGATGAATACGACTTTGGCCATGCTGAAGCTACTCTGTCTCCACATCCGCCTCCAGCAAAACGAGTTCGAAGAGGCAGCTCGAAAGCCGCAACTTCGAGTCGCGAAACCCCAGTCACAATACTGCCTCATCCTGAGGGGCTCCAGCGACTAGAGCAAGAACGGCGACAAGGCCATATTGATCCTCATCCCCACCAAAGGTCTCGCGCTCCCGGCCGGGGCCGGCGCGACCCGCAAGCGGAAGAAGAAGATGCTTTTGTCGAAGGACTGCGAGAACAGAACCTGGCATGGCGAGTCATCCGGGAAATGTTTCGCGAAAAGTTCAACAAAGATGCGTCGGAAGCACGCTTGCAAATGCGGATGCTGCGCCGGCGCAAAGAACGTCTAGCGCGGTGGGATGAGAATGATGTGAGTATGTGTGTCATGACTTTCTCCTTCAATTTCTCACAATTTATTGATGACCAAGTGCTCCAGATCCCACTTCTCATAAGAGCTCGAGATCATTGGGAACGTGAAAAGTATCATTTCATTGCTCAGAAGGTGAGATCGTTCCAGCTGTTTTTTCATGGCGTATCCATACACGTTCTGCAAGCTAACATTTTGATGATGTAGATGAGGGACCTAGGCGCTAGAAGGACATACACAGCGCAGCAGTGTGAGGCTCAACTTAAAGACATGGAAGCTGAAAACCGAGAACGTGCCAATGCCTCGTCATCGCAAATGACAGAGCACTCACGGGCTCGAAAACGACTCAGGGCCAACAGCGACATGGGGTCGTTTCTTTGACGGTTTTTCTATCTTCTCCTTTTGGTTGACATTCACCATCATCGTCTAGAAGCGCATTGTTTTGATCTCTCACAGTGCCGCATTGGGTGGCATTTCTGATTAGCGGGGTTTGACGCAGTGCATAGCATTGATTGCATTTTCATTGCCTCAGTGGCATCTCCTTTTGCATATGTTTCTCTTCACCAATTTTTTTCATGGACATATACCTTTTTACAACGACTCATGTAGGCACATGTCGATATGAAATTGACCATGAGCACGTCCAGTGGTCCTACGAATACATACAATTCTCTACACTTCATGTCTTCGAAACTCAATCCAATCTTAAGTCTCGTGGAAGAAGCCACAGAGGTCGTGGGCGGTCACTACAGTCCCCCCAAGCGTGAAAACAGGGCCCGATGTACTTCGTATGCTCAGCTGTACAAGTTCCTCCAAGCCCTGGTTAGAGTCGAATCTAGAACGTTAAGAATATCATCTTTCGGCCTGTAATCTCCTCACAAAGCCTGATCAGGCCCCATGCATGCATAAAACCCATCTGCGGCTGATAACCAAGTCCAGAGAGACGGTATCGGGCAGAACATGCGCATCCATCTACGGAGTACAGTTCCAAAAAGTATTCAGACTACGCCATGGCAGTGGGGGCTATAAGTCCGGATTAACTACGCTCCACTCAGCATGCGGCGTAGGCGCTTAACCTGCAGGACGTGCAGCAGACCCGTGCAAAGGAGTGGTGAGCCGTGTTCAAGTTTCAGACATGCGGCTAAAGATGGAGTACTCCGTAAGAGCTAAGGATTTTAATGCGGGCAGCGGGCTAGACTATTCGGTATTCAGCCTACGGAGGACGTGCATATACACAGACATTTACGGACATGTGGACTTATTTCCGTTCTGGGATGAATGTGGATGGAAGATGATGGCATTGGATCGTCGTCTATGATCAAAAATGGAATCGCTAGTACTCCGTACAAAGATAGGCGCGTCGAAGTTTGTTCGGTTCAACGGTATCGTTTTAACGTGTCGGTCATGTCCCCCCCACTTCTGAAGACCAGTGGATCTATGGATTACGGATGTCAGTTGCGCATTGCTCAAAGATGATCAGCTCGCTTGAGCAGACTCTTCGTCCGATTCGAAGTCCTCCTCGATTACTGGGAACGTGCACAAAGCGGCAACCCCTCCTAATCCATCCAGTCTTCTCCCGCTCTCATGGTCGGAGCTGAGTACACGCACTTCGCCCCCCTCGACATCCCGGACTCGGTCAACAAGTGACACCCAGCGTTTGCGCTCCGCCACGTCCTGTGACCGGAACAATCGGTTTGAGATAATGAGGACGCCGCCCCCACGGCCTACGGCCCCTTGGTCGACTGCCGACTCGACCTCGCGAGGTCCATAGGTAGCCTTATTAGTCTCCTTGCGGAGCTGTTCAAGAAAGTCGTCCATCAGTGTGGTCTCGCGGGCATATTTGGTGTCCGCAAGGATGGTCTTCACTGCAGGCGATTGCAGCACCTCAGCGAGAGAATGCAGATAGCCTGAGGCTGAGTGGACGACGACAATACTCGGTAATAGTCGTTTGAGGGCAGGTGTACTCGTCGAGGCAACAGACTGTATGTATTTCTGAAATCCGGCAGCGACAAAACCAGGCGACGCAAGAAGAACGGGCTTGACAGGCTCGTTACTGGTGAGAGATGTAGCGCTGGTGTTGAACTCCATCTGCCGGAGAAGAGTGTCCAGTGTGACCTGGTAGAATTTTGACATTCCCTGTTTCGCGTAAGTGACTATTCCTTTACCAGTGCACGGTAGCACCTGGGTGGAGAGAGTACCTTATCATGATCTCCGCCTCCGCCGCCTTGTCGTTTTCGCGGAACCGACATCTCGACCTTCTGCTTCAAGATGGTCTGAAATTGCCCAATAAAGCAAATGTGGGCCAGTCCTTCCTGCATAACAACGGCGACCGCTTCCGCCCTCCGTTTGCCGCTCTCGTCAACGGCATCCTTGAGCATCTGTACAGCAATGCTGTCCCACCCTATTCCTTCCCCATCCGCACCGATCTCTTTCTCCAGGGTGAAATTGCGATTCAACTCCAGATCCAATGTATGATGTTGCCCGACTTTAGTGTGCGGTGTCTCGTTAACAATTGTTCCTCCGACATGCAGTTGTGAGCTCTGAGGGTCGAAATCCAAGCTTTTCACGCGGATTTCCAGCGTTAAGTGGACCCGGGACGAAGTCGTTGTACCGGTGTCGTGTGTCGATGTGACGCGACGAATTGCGCTTGCGCGAAGGAGGTCACCGGGTCTGATCAGGTTGTAGGCGTGCCACTTAGTGCAGGAGCCGTCAGAGCAGGTAAGTATTCGGAGGGGATCGTGTCGCATACCATATCCTCCGGCTCTTCAGGACACAGAGTGACTGTACCTGAGCCACCATGCTCAATCTTGTTCTTTATTAGACGCATTTGAACTGTGGGTGTATAGATGTCTGATGTTGAATAAATAGGTAGCCAATAGTATATCCAAGATATGAGTGTTATAAGCTGTTGCGAATGGAGGTCTACTTTCCCCAAAGAGATGCTAAGCACTCAATCGATCCAATAGTGATAGAGACAGACAACTATATGTGTCCAAGGAAAGAAAGGTCTCTCGCCCTCACGGACCAGGAAGAAACCAATGTAAGGTAGAGAGATGATTCAACTTCAGGCGTCAAGGCAGCTTCAGGAGATGCGGGACAATTCCTGAATAGAACTAGCGCAGTTACTTATCGATAAGAAGATGAAGCCCTAAGCCCTGAGACCGTCAGCCGTGCAGATAGATAAGTGATGTCATTCATGGCAGTCGTACGGAGTATGTTGAACATATTGCATGACCTCTGAAGTATCTCTAGATCATCAAAACAGCTTGCTTCCAGGCCAAAGTAATGAATTCAGAAGAACAGAAGCTGGTTTTCTCCTCAACCTTGCTCAATCTTTCTAGATATTGAACCAAGCCAACTCAACACCATTATCCTTTCTTGGAAGTTGGAACCCGACAAAACCTGTCCCACGTTAATTGCTCTCCGCCGCAAGACTAACACCCATCAGGAAGCTCATAATTATAAATCATAATGGCATTTTGGCTTTCGGAGAGGGACATGGGAGCGACTATCGGTCTCCGAAGACTCCAATTCCTCATGGACCCCAATTGACGGCCGATGATATAATAAGGATCCGAGTCCGCGCAGCTATGTTTGTTTTTCTCAGACATCCGTTCTATCTCTCTATTTCTTTTACCACCGCACTACTCCTTAGTAACTGCAACCATGGCCCCCTTATCTCTCCAGTCGACCTACAAAATGGCCTCGGGATACGAAATCCCAGTCGTAGGGTTCGGTGTGAGTAACAACTCTCAATGGCATAGTTTCGACTATGAATCAAGCTGCTGACACACGGATCATAAGGTTTATCAAACGTATGTTTGAATTTTAGTAGCAGGTCATCATAGAAGGATTGAACTCCATGCCTAACCTGTAAACGGAAATGCAGGCCACCCGAGATCACCGAGAAGGTCACTGTCAAGGCGCTGGAAACTGGATACCGCCATGTAGGTGCCATCAGAACCGTTGAAGCACCAGGCAAATTGAGGCTAATACGGCGTGCTCCCCCAGATTGACAGCGCAAAGTACTACGCGAATGAGAAAGAATGTGCAGAGGCTATGAAAAAGTCTGGCATTGACCGTTCCAAGATCTTTTTCACCACAAAGGTTCCCGCATCTTCCATGTCCTATGAAAAGGCCAAGGAAGCCATTGAGGCAAGTGTCGCTGCTGCCAATCTTGGTTACATCGATCTGTAAGCGAATCACCCCGATCTTCGACGATCAAGCGATGCCCCTGGCTAACATAGGGGCAGAATCCTGCTGCATGCGCCCTTCGGCGGAAAGGAGGGTCGCCTTGGCGCCTGGCGCGCCCTCGTGGAGGCTCAGAAGGCAGGCCACGTCCGTTCCATTGGTGTCTCCAACTATGGCATTCACCATCTGGAGGAATTGGAGGAGTACATTAACAGCGGTGTTGGAGGCCAGATTTCTGTTGGCCAGTACGAGATTCACCCCTGGTGTGCGCGAGAGGACATTGCTGCCTGGCTGAAGAAGCGCAACGTCATTGTTGAAGCCTATTCTCCTCTTGTTCAAGCTCAGCGCATGGACGAGCCTGTTCTACAAAACTTGGCCAAGAAGCACAACAAGACACCAGCTCAGATCCTGATCCGGTGGAGTCTGCAAAAGGTACCTTCTTTGTTTCCTTCTCGATTGAGTCTATGGCTAATGCAATCTTGACAGGGGTATGTTCCTCTTCCGAAGTCTGTGACCGATTCCCGTATCGTTGAGAACACGCAGGTGTTTGACTTCGAATTGTCAGGCGAGGACATGGAGAGTCTGAACACCGGCATTTATGCCCCTGTCTGCTGGGATCCTGCTAAAGATGTTCCGCTGTAGAGCGATATGTTACTTAAATTTAATGATAGTAGAAAGACGATGGGAAGCAGGAATAGAGATATATACGCCTATTTCGCTCATACATAGAAGCCCCATGGTCACTTTGGTAAATGCTGGATTTTGATAGACAACAAAGATCAAATTTCTTAAAGGAAGGGGTCGTATCTCTTGATGAAATGAGGACCTCCTGTAAAAGTGGTGGTGACTGCCGTCCTGTTGATCTTCTGGCCGGGACAACATATCGCCGCCAGACGACAACAATAGCTCTCTCCGCGTTATCAGACCCATCATTGCCAATCAACAACTGAGAGAACCCTACAAGATACAAGATACGATCTTCAGATGCCTCCCTACGTCTCATAAGACAGACTTATACCTGAACCTGTCATCGTGATGCCCGATCAGCCGCGGCGCATGATTCTGGAAAAATCCAGGACAGTGCGCCGCCGGTATCAGCGCAGCAATAAACGGTTCCAATTTACAGCATCACAGATCGAACGCATCGAACGCGAAGAGGAACGCGAATCACGAGCTAAGAAACTTCGAGAAAAGGAGAAGAAACGCCTAGCCGATAAGAAGAAAAAAGCCGAAAAGGAAGCCAAAGAACGCGAAGCACGAAGACGACTCGGTCTCCCTGATCCTCATGCTCTCCCCGTTCCTTCCAGTCAGCCATTGCTTTCGAAGTTCCTCAAGAAGCCTGGAGCGAAACCGGACACGGAGAGCGAGACTTGTGAGGAAACAGAGTTAGATAACCATAGCCAGGGGAGTATCGCGACCGAGATTGACGAGAGCCTGCTCTCGGGTTTAGATGTCGCCTTTGACGATCAGACGGCTGCTGGGGTATCAGAGCCAGCCGTTGAAGATAGTCATACAGTAAGCAATGATGGCAAGAGTCATGTTGGTCGGACACAGGGCGATGATGACGAGTTTTCCGAATGCTCGATTTTCTACGATGAAGACATCATTAAGGAAGCGGAAACCATAGCGACTGCACAAGATACGCCAGATCAGGCGATGAAAGAGCCGAGCAAACCTGTGTTGACGGTAGGAGAATCATTCCAAGATGACACTGCGATACTCCTTGAAGAGTTTGGCCATGAATTCGGCACCGATGATGAATTCGAACAGGAATTGATTCGACTTGATACCGTATCTGTTGGAAACCCATATTGAATTGACTATACGAATATTGGATATTCAATGTGTGATTGGGAACATTGTCTAGTTTGGCAGATTAAATGTTGCAAACCCCTCGCACAAGTTTATCCTTGAGGGACAGAATGCATTAGGACCATCGTTGACAGTCGCTTGACGATAATCCTGCAACCTCCTCACAGGTTTACACAGCTCAAACACTGAAGACCCCTGTTTGATCCGATCCCGCACTGATCGGATCGTGATGCCCCTCTTGTCGGAACGGGCGGTGATAAGGTGGGCGGCCCGCTATGAATTGTTCCGAGCGAGAATCATGAAGGCAGCCTTGCACGGACAGAGATTATGAGGTAACAATAGGAATGACCTCTTGGACAGCCGCCTCGTCGTTTTGAAGACACTATACCAGAGCGCAGTATTGATAAGATAGGAGGAGAACGAAGCCGAAGAAGTCTGAAGATAACAGTCTGTTGACGTCAATGCGGAATAAGAATCACATAACGTATCGGCTTTTGTGAGCTTCTTGGGGATACCCGATTGCTATCTGTTACTTCATACTCAGTACATTCGAACGCACATTGCAATATCTTTCTCTTCTTTTCTCACATTTGTACTGTCGCTGCTGCTGCGAAACATACCCACCGTTTACATCCAGTCGCAACGAACGGAAAAGATGCCGTACCTCGAAGTTCGTGAGCACCGAATCCACTACGCCGATTCTCATCCCAATGGAGCTCCTAAAGACGGTGCGACTATTGTCTTCATACACGGCCTTGGCTCCTCCCAAAATTACTACTTTCCTATTCTCCCCTATCTGACTCCTAATCATCGCTGCATCACCCTTGACACCTACGGATCTGCCCGCTCCCCATACACCGGCCAGCCCATCACCATCGCTACCATTGCTGCGGATGTCATTGCGGTGCTGGATGTGCTCGACATCTCCAAGGCCGTCGTAGTCGGCCACTCGATGGGCGGACTGGTCGTAACACTCTTGGGCGCAGAGTGCAGCGATCGCATCACGGCTGTAGTAGCCGTGGGTCCCACTCCTCCCTCGGAGGCTCTGGCATCCACCATGCGCCAGAGAAGCGAGAAGGTGCTCGAAGGTACGTTACTTCCATAAGCCCAAACTCATCGCCGAAATGCGCCACGTATGAGCTAACGCCAGAATAGCTGGAATGGAAGCAATGGCCAACGTCGTCCCCAACTCCGCCACGGGCTCGCAAGCCTCCCCGCTTGCCAAGTCGTTCATTCGCGAGCTCCTTTTAGGCCAGAACCCGAAGGGCTACGCCGCGCTATGCCAGGCTATTGCTGAGGCCCCCGCGATCAACTACTCGTCCATCACTGTGCCGTTCCTGCTCATTGCGGGCGACGAGGATAAGTCTGCGTCGTTCGAAGGGTGCCAACATATCTTTGACCGGGTGTCGAGTGAGAAGAAGATGATGGAGGTACTGCCCAAAGTCGGCCATTGGCACTGTATCGAGGCACCGAATCTGGTGGGTGAGACCATTCAGGCGTTTGTTGAGGGTATGTGATTGTGTTGCAGAAGTTATAGAATCTAGTTAGAGATTGAACGGATTGTCCTTGAGGAGTTCAATTATAAAATTGAGTGCTTTATTGTTCTCAATAACGCAGCTGTGTCAATGCACCTATGAATCATCAAGCTAGAAGGCAGTGCAAGCGACATGAATGCAATTTCGGCAAGTCCAGATCAAGAAGACAGAGGCTCAAAGCCCACTCCAGCCAAAAAAGAGAATCCGTCATCACATTACGGCATCACGGGAGAACACACAAAAATATATACTCAAATTCCAGCTATTGGCAGACTCCATTCCATTGGCCTACGCCCCCTCCGCTACCAGTTTGACATCGTATTCAAGCTCAAGTCCAGCTTGAGGGTCATCCTTGCGAGGCACAAAGTCCACGATCAGCGAGTCCTTGACGGCAAACACCGAGTCGTTCGTCAGGTACTTGTCCTGGCGGTCGAAGATCTGGGTGGTGAGCGGCTTGTAGCCCTCGTGCGTAGCCTGCAGCGCAGAATTAGCCCGAGATGCCTCTTGTCAAGTCACTCGGAACAGTGAAATACTCACGAGGATGTGGATATGGGCAGGTCGGAAGGGGTGGCGGTCCATGAGCTCGAGTAATTTCCCTGCGGGACCTGTACATCAACTCACGATCAGCTTCTGCTCTGACTCGACCGTTGTAAGGTTTCTACAGCGATAGCGATCGCGTCAAAACTACATACCATCATTCGGCACGGGATACGGCGTCGGACGCAGGCAGTAGAAGTAGTAGCGCCCGTCCTCATCCGTTTTGAATTTCCCGCGCAGGTTGAACTCCTCCTGGTTCGGATCCTGCTGCTCATACAGCCCGTTCGTTGACGCCTGCCACACCTCCACCGTCGCGCCAACGAGCGGCTTCTTAGTCTGAAAATCGATCACCCGGCCATGCATGAACGCCATCTCGCCGTCCGTCACTCCCTTGACGATGTTGTCGCCGTTCTTGCGGTAGGGGGTGTCGGCGCGGAAGAAGGGGCCCAGGATGGCGGTTGCGGTGGGTGCGTCGGCGGCCTCTTCCGCGAGCTTGAAGGTGATTTCGTCGACAAGCCTAGGTACACACTAGTTATTGGTTGAACTTTGTCGGGGACTGCAAAACAGGGACCACGTACGACTCGAGCCCGATCACGTCGCAAACAAGCTGGCCCTCGTTGCGCTTGTCGTCGCTCATCTGACCGGCCCAGTTGAGCAGCTTGACTCCGGCCATCCATTCGTCGACGGTCAATTCGTTCTCGCGCGCGAAGTCATGGACATGGCGGATCAGGCTGGCCATGAGCTTCCGCAAGCGCGGGTTGGTCTTGGGACCCATCGCGTTGATGACATTGTCGGTGAAGTTGGGGTCAAACCGGTGAGTCGCCATGGCTGCTGTGTGTCTGCGTTAAGTATAGTATCCTAGTAAGAGAGGTGGGGGGTATATGAAGAGATGGAAGAGAGGAAGTGGATAAGAGAAATATGGTTGTATACAATGAACAGTTAATGAAAGAAAACAGTCGCAAGGACTACCATCCAGCTTATATTCAAACAAGATCTAAATAAACGGAGTATGATTGGAAATGCTTGCTTTTCGGACGGCAATGTGTGGCCCATACCACAAGGAGACCCCCGCAATTGATGAAGGACCGTCAACTGCTATTGAATGACATGATCCTGGATCGGGGAGTACAGTAATTGACCACTAAGGACCGAAAAAAATTGCATTAAGAAGCCGGTCGAGCCATTAAACCCCGTGTCTAGCCTGCCCTGTGTTCCGTAGAAACCGTATGACACTCTTTCGGATAAGGGACAGGGGACTATTGCGACGATCCGATTTCCCCGCAATCGGTCGGATGTCGGATAGCAGCGCTTATATAATTCCCCCCAGCATCGTCCCCGCACCGTCAGGTGATTTTGCTTATCATAATGCATTGGAGCTAATCGATAGAATACTGCGTACAAGCTCAGAGCTCGGTTCTTTGTCACGGGGTGTAGATTTAGGCATCTTGTGCTCAGATATAGATCAGTAAGACTTGCTTACCACAAGATCACGGTATACAAAGGTGCTCCGTCTTGCCGAATCCAAAAATGGCAGATCAGCCATTCCTTCTACTACCTCTCCTCCCATCCGATCCTGCTCGTGGACCCTTGGGATTGCCTTTCTGAAGCAATTCCGACGGCAATTCTTGGATAACTTGCCCATGTTCCCAAATCTTCCCCAGTCCACATTTCCTTTCCACAACAACATCAAAGAAATCAAGGGGGATGATCTTCTGCGCTGCGCCAGCTCCAGCCTCCTGATTCACCCCTATAGCCACGCCCTCACTCAGGATGACCCCATTCTCACTGCGCCAGAACGGACAGCCCGCAGCCAGCGCCTTCTTGATGTCAATGTAGATCAGAATCTGCGCATCTCGTCTCATTCCGGAGATAACCCGCCCATCGTTCAGGCCCGAGGGCCCCATGGCCGAGTGCGACGTTCCATCTAGATGCGTAGGTAGCACGGATTCCAGAGAAGGCCCCCTTGCAAAGTGAACCTGGTTCCGTCCCATGCACCGAAGCCCGCCGGACTCGAGAATGGCCGGCCAAACGGCATGGTATGTCCCGTGCACAACAGTGTCGGGTAACCTCGACTCGTCTTCCAGTGTCAGTCTCTCCAGAAATGCAGCCGCTTCCACGCTCTTAATACTGTGTCCCTGCGTCGCTCGAATCAGGAAGTGAGACGGATCTGTATCGTTCACGGCGAGTGCCGTCGCCGTTGCGTTTTCTTGCCCCGCGCTGGTGGTCGGTACATGTGATGTAGGCAACGAGCTCGGTTCTGCTACGCAGGCGGGGGTTTCCCCTTCGCGTACCCCGGATGTTGTCGTGTCGCTTATCGTAGTACTGGCTTTCGCCGAAGGGATGTGTAACAGCGCAAACCGCTTTTTATCGGACGAAGCAACCGCGTGAATGATTTCAGGAAGGGTAACCTTAAGAGACTTGAGCTTTCTCCACGCTAGCTGTGCGAGATATGTGTATCAGCATATATCCCATTGAATGGGTGCCGTTGTCGTGCATACCACGTCCGCCACGTTGGCATACCCTTGGGAATCCATTTTCAGCCCTTCCTTTTCTGCTGCATGACGCAATAGCAGACTTAATGCTTTGGAAATGGTCACTTCACGACTTTGGTTGCCTCCTCTGCCCCTACGTTGATTTTGCGACATTGTGATGGACTCGGCAAGCGGAGATGAGGGGTTCTGGGTTCGGCGTAGAACAATGGCGATGAAACGGATTTGTCGGTCGATTGTGCTGACTTTGTACTGTATCTGAATCCCACAGCGTCAGTAACTACCTAGATAGAAGACTCATCCGGTGGCTGAGCTCACGCGATGACTCAAAGTGACTGCAAAGTGACTGGGCAACGTGGTCCTCGTATCGTGAGATCAGGAAAAGCTATGAGAGCCGAGTCCACAAGAGCGCCACAAGCTGCCTAAAATCATCTGCCATCAGCATCAGCGAGAACAAGAATGGGTTCGATTTGTGACCTACAATAATAATGCGTAGTTCGACGATCGCGGCTGTATCAACAGACCCGAGAAATTTTGTTTGACATCATCGGCGGGCAATAAGGACCCACCGGACTAGGGAAGATGTAGTACGTAAATAGTAATACTCCTATGGTATTTCGTGAATCGTAGACTTGGCGTGTTGGCCAGTTATTGATTCTCGGATTATGATAAAAAAAAAAAAGCTTGATGTGGAAAGAGTACGTATAGTAGACGATATAAATGTTGATTAGCGAAAATGCCCAATAACCTCATGCCTCCATGAATGGGTATCGAAGATAACTGAAAACCGTCCCACCATCGCTCATGACATGCTAAAATCCTCCCTCATTGCAAGCCAGATATACAAAACGAATTCCTTAGGGTATAGGTCACGGTCACCGGTCGCAAATGCAGCTGCATTCTGCGACAGGGCAAACCCTATGCTTTGCGAACCATTCTCTGGCGTGATGTGCATGGAACCCATGATTGCAATTGATACAGAAGACGATGAATCTGCGCATGACGTCGGCCTCTGTGGGTTTGCGCTGCTCCTGACCAGCATCGGCGGCGATACACGCCCTGGACATTGGATCTGGGGAGCCCAGCCAGAGCATGCACACTCCACAGCGGGGCATCGGCCGTCCACACCTGGGGCAGACCATTCCTGACATAACAGCTGTACCCAAGGGATTGCCAGCGGTTGGATGCACCACTTCCCCTGTAGCCGAAGGAGAAATTTGGGATGACGCATCATGTTGGGTGAGGGGTCGAGTGCAGTAGTTACAAGTCAAGCTGACTTGTTGTCGGGGCGGCTCGATGAGTCTGCGCCCGTCCCAGGTGAAGGCGAACTTGCGAGACCCGACATCGAATCGCGCTCTCTCTAGTTGGAGTTTCCATGAGTTCATCTGCCAGCGGTAGGTTTCACGCCATGCTTCATACCGAGCCCTGCCCGAACCATTCTTGATGAAGCGCGGAACTGTGTGGCTCATGGCTAGAACCGGCGTCTGAACATCATTGAATTTGTTGATATATGATTGGAAAAGGTCCAAGGCAGAGTGGCCAAGCCCCGTGAGAATTATACCTTCAATGTCACCTTGACGGATGACTTCAGCAATGGTTTCCTTCAAGTAACTGGAGAGTTCCTCGTCAGGAAGCCAACGTAGAGCTACCTCGATCCGGTATCTCAAAGGAAGCGTAGACTCGCGGATAACGGACTTCCAATCTCCTTTACTTACGAGCGCCAGTATAGCTCGTGCGTAGGGGTCAGTGAGTTCCTTGGCAATCTCCGCGCATGTCTCTTCCCAATCTGAGTCAGTATCGCCTTTGGCTGCCCCGGCGATAGCCATGGCGAGCAGCTTATGCGCCTGGGTGGGCGTGTGACTGCGCAACGCCAGATACGCCAATTTGGGCTCGTCCTGGAAGACGGCCAATGCAGCTGCTTTAGTATGCTGGTTGTCTGCAGAAAGCGTTTTGACAAGTTCCTCCAATTCGCGATGAGATTGTGCCGCACCACAGAGACGCAAACAAAGTCGGCGATGTTCTGGATGAGCTGTCTCACATCCTTTTGATTCGGGCAAATTTAATTGCTCCCGCACAACCTCGATAATACTTCCGCTGATCGATGGAGACTCGGCGCTGCTTGGACCGATATGCCGGCTGTCAAGACTTTGACCTACAAGAGCTTAGCAGACCGCGACCACAAGAGATACCCATAAAACAGAGGGAGCAAGTAGACGGAAATACCCTACCTAGGTCATTGTTCCAGATGTCATACACCCCTAGGTAATTGAAATCCAAGCCATTTCTGATCATCGACTGACCAGACGAGTCTGAACGTGCGCCTACATCGCCCGTCAGAGAAAATTTAGTCATGTTATAATAAACACTACTCACGTTCCACCCAATCCCAAAGGCCCTGAAGTTGAGGGTCATCGGCTAAAATTCGCTTGTTCCGGGTTTCATCGAATAAGTAGCCTTCCTTGCACCGTAGTCTGTTTACGGTCAATAACGCCAGTGCTTCCTCTGCGGTAAGAGGTTGACCAAGAGTTCCCAGTGACAAATTCCGTTCTCGGGATTCACGACTGGAGAGAGGATCTTTGACGCGGGAATCCGATCGCGCAGCCCGGCCTCCGTGCGACAACTTCCTCTCTTCTAGAGCTGAGAGATTCGCCTTGCGAATGTTCTCAATTACTTCTGAAACCTTCGTCTGACCCCCAAATGCGGGCCGTAACTCAGTGAAATCGAGACGATTATCAGAGCTACCACGGATCAGAACACCCTGAGAGGATAGCCGCACAGGCGGAGATTGAGGTTGTACCGTAACCAGGCTGACTTGACCATTTCCAGCTAACGTTATAGCAGTAGGCTCGTTGGAAGTACTCATGTTCAGAAAGTCGAACGCCACAACTCTGTCTGACTCCTTGCAGCCTCGGGTGGGATGATTGAATGGGCTGAGGACTTCGCGGATGGATTTCGTATAGATCTGTTCTGGGTAGTTGTGGAAGGACCCTTGCCCGAGGGTCTCCTCCATGGACGAGCGGTACTCTTCCGACAAGTACTCTTTGGCGATATCAAAAGTTTTGAAGCAGCCAGTGTTCGAAAGCGCACCCAGACAGCCTCGTTTTGTCTTCGAAAACCGCAGACTCCAGAGAGATGTTTTAGGACCGAAGACATTCTTGAATTCAAGGGCTGGGCCCGGATGTCCAGACTCCAGCATATTCGCAGCACCCATGGTGACATTAAACCGGGAGCTGGCCCTTCGGTCCCAGATGCAGATAGTAGGGTCGTTCGTTAGATGACAGGATGCGACATAGTTTTCATCAAGCGGGTCGATCGCGAGATTGTGGACGCATCGCGTGGGAAATTGTAGAGACGGATTGCCAGGACCGTCTTTATAGGGGATTAGCTGCACACCCCAGCCGGAAGAAAGAACGAAAGGTGTGGACAAAACACTTACCTCGAAGATCATATATTCTCACATATTGGCCCTTCACCCCGGTGACAAGCATGTCGGGATTGTCTCTGAAGAACTTAACACTCGTGATCGGTTCCGAGCTAGCCAATTTTCTAAGAGGCTCGACGTATCCCTTGGGACCTTTGTTCATTATACGCTGATTGACATCCCAAATATTCAAACAAAAGTCGTTGCGGACCCGATCCAGCCCAGCAGCCAGCAGGCCATGCATACTGAACGAGACAGCATTACAATAACGCTGATGGCGAATGGGGAATGAAATCGACTCCGCATTCTCGCTGCTCATGCGCAAGACAGTCGCGTCACCAGAGGATTGGCCCACAGCAACCAGGGACTCGTCCACGGCAGACCAATCGAAGGCGCGAAACGCGGGCACCTTGGTGTGCGTCGACAGCACTTCATGTTCCAGATTCTTGCCGTCGAATGCAGTGACCCTGCAGAGTCGGAAGGCTTTCCCCGTCACGTCTACGGAGAGAAAGCGCTGCTCCGCGGTGGTGGTGGACGGGGCCCAGCGAATGGCTGTCTCCATTGTTTCCCTGCGGATTGTCTGGGCTGTCGCGAGAAGGACTGATCACCTGCTCAGAAGTAGGTAGTCAAGCAACCTGCGCCCATCCTAAGAAACAACGCCCAGCTCGCAAAGCTAAGCTGACTGGAATCAAGCGATGGAACACATAGTAGCAACTAAAACTCTTTAAAAGTCAAAGTTGACGATACGAGGGCGCATTTCCAGTGATCTCAACTTGCATTGGGATAAATCAACAGGGTAATTCCTCCCGTGCTCTCTTCAATCGCTAAGCGCGTCATTGCAACCGGCTCCGCTCTGATTGGTCGCAGCCGATCTGGGGAACTTCCTCGGGCCGACTGCTGATCCGCTTATATTTTATCGTTTGGTGATTTTTTTTGGGCCTTTATCTTCACCGGTGATCAGCAGTGAATTAGTGAACTGCACTGCAACTGTTTATTTTCAGTGACAAGATGCCCAGAGAATACTCGAGGGAGAGACTATCTCATTCTGATTCCACGACGACCAGTAAACGCAAGTACCGCGAAGTATCGGAAGACTCTCAACCAGCAAAGAAGAAGAAGATCCACCCTCCCAAACATGAACACACCCACCCCTCCGTGAACGAGTTGAAGAAGCGCATCCGAGATGTCAAGCGTCTGCTCAACCGGGTTGACCTGCCAGCCGATGCGCGCATCGTCCAGGAGCGTGCGCTCGCGGGATACGAGAAGGATCTTGAGGACGAGCTGGCGAGACGCAATCGGTCCCAGATGATCAAGAAGTATCACTTTGTTCGATTCCTCGGTACGAGACTCTGACTACAATTTGCTCTTGGCGAATGGCTAACATGGACTACTGCAGACCGAAAAGCCGCCTCAAAAGACCTCAACCGTCTCCTCCGCCGCGAAAAGGAAATCTCCGACTCCGATCTCGACTCAGCAGCAAAGGAAGAGAAACTAGCTGCTCTTGCAAGGAAGATCCACGTCGCGCGTGTGAATCACAATTATACCATCTACTACCCGCTCACGCAGAAATACGTCGCGCTCTACGCAGAGAAGAAGAACAAAAAGGAGTCCACCGCACAATCGGAGAAGCCGAATGAGTCTGACGCGGAAGTTGGCAGCAAACTTATCTATGAGACCACGGGCGAGAGACCGCCCATGTGGCGTGTAGTCGAGAAGTGCATGGAAGACGGGACGCTGGATCTTCTCCGTGAAGGGAAATTGGACAGTGGGGAGGGCGAGAAGAGCTCACAAGCGCCGGAGCAGAATAGGTTGAAGAAAAGCACGGATGCGGATCAACATGCACGCAATAAGTTCAAGAAGGAAAAGGCGTCCGATAAAGCTAGCGGAAAGTCGAGGAAGTCAGAGGGCAGGCAAGACAAGAAACCCAAACGGTCCTCGGTAATGGAGGGCGCGTACTGGAGTGCCAACGAGCACAATGATGATGGTAATGAGAGTGATGGCGGTTTCTTCGAGGAGTGATTCAATTCGCATTGCATCTGCGGCCTATCATTGAGCGGTCTGTTTCAAGTCGGTTAGCGTCTGTATCATGCTCTTTTATTCATCCTGTCCGGAAAGCAATCATGTCATGGCCACTATCCTGTATATCTTCTAGTTGATACCCAAATCATGAAGACTCCTCAGTTGGGACTGAATTTTTTTTCAGTGTAGTGCTGCTGTACATTGTTTCGCTTACCTAGGTCCCAAGAGATACTCTTTTCCTGCACCAGCCTGATAATGAGAGTCGTATCGACACTTGTATCAAGACTTGACCGAACAAACTCCTGTTTCACCATTTCCTCTCTAAGTAACTGTAAGACAGAGACATAGATACTGATCAAATATACACCATGAACTCCGAACCATTGTACCGGGTCAAAAAGAAGACAAACAAGTAAACTGCGAAGGAAAGGTAAAAATCAAACAGGCTAAGGCACGACCCAGACTTTCATGCACAGCTGGAGAAAATCCCTCGAGTGCATCCTGACATGAATTGATTTGTCAAAACGAAAGGTCACTTCGCGCCTCTCAGAAGTGGCCGATATTGGGACACGGCGGCAGCCCTCCAGCATGACCAGCATGGAGACTGCCTGTGTCCTGGTTTCCCCCTACCTGGGTATGAGTAGGTGGTAGCATGTGTTGGAATTTCCAGAATCTCAAGTATTCACCCAGTGAATGAATGGAATGAAAAGAGCTTGCTCAATCCAATGTAACCACAAAACGCCCGCGAATGCAGTAGAAGTCGAAAGAGAGATTGATGTAGCAAGGCACTTCGAATTCCTGGATGCTTCTTACATAACAGTGCAACCTCCGCTCTGCGCTCTTCTGCGTCTTCCTCCAAGAGCGGAAATACCACCAATGCCATATGCATCTTCATCATCGTCGGCGTTGTAGAGTCGTTCGGCCTCGCGAGCTCGGCGCCGTCTGCGCCGCGCACCGGCTCCGCCAGCACCAGCTTCTTCTGTCGCCATCATATAATCGGCCCATTTCCGGTCTAGTCTACTCGCGGCAGCGAGATCCCCGCGCAAGACTCGCTTGTTGTGTTCATCGACGGTCATTTGCCAGCCATAGAAGCATTTGAGTTGGATGATCTCGTTGGGAAACACCGGGGGCGGTGGTGGCGGAGTGATCGAGGAAGTCCTCGTAATCGCTGCTGTTGGTGACTCGCCTTCGTCAACCTGCTGCGTCACCACCGTGACCGGCGAACTAGTTTTGCGAGAGCGTGGTATGTATGCGTTGCTCGAAAGGACCTCCTTCACTCCTGCCCAAGTGACATTGGCACAATCAAAAACCACCAGGCGCAAGCCAACCCTGGGAAGATTTTCGTCGTAGCCTCGCTTACGGACGCGAAAACTGGCCTCCATCAAAGTGAGATCGGAGATTCGAGTGTTATCCATCTCCACGGACCGAATGTTGGGGCAGCTCTTCATCACCTGAAGCATTCCGATGTCACCTAGGCTCTCACAAAAGCTGATGTTGAGGTGTTCAAGGCGTTCGGCACACGGACTCTTGGCAAGTTCAACTAAGGTGTTGTTGGTGAGCTGTTCCAGGTCTTCAAGTTCAAGATTAGTCAACAGAGGGGTCGTGCGGATGACATCAATGACGGAATCGTCGCTCAACTGCGGGCATTGAGATAGCTGGAGGCCCTCGAGCTCGGGAACATTGTGGGCCAGACTTTTCACTCCGACATCAGTCAAATCCGAGCATTGGTGCACATCCAGGTGTTTGAGACGCCGGGGTGGGACGATTGGCCGGTCCGTGAGCACATCGATTTCCGGGTCAATGCCATGCATAAGAGCCTTGAGGCTGTCGTCCGTCAGATCGGTGCGGCCTATGATCAACCTTTCCAAGGTGTTCCTCTTGAACAATTCAAGGGCAAATTCCTCATCGTGAAAACCACTAATTTCGCTGGCCCGCAAATCTTTCAATCTCGGGCAAGCTTGTACCACTTTTCTCAAGCCGGAAGTGTTGACGCCAGTGCACCACGAGATATTGAGAATCTCGAGCTGCGGACACTTCTGGGCGATAATCTTCATGGCGGAGTTGGTCACAGTAGGCAATCCAGAGACATTGATGTATTCAAGACGAGGGTTTCGTAGCAGAAAACAGTGCATGGAAGTCTTGTCAATGCGGCATCCTTCGAGAGAGAAGTTGACAACGTTCCGACAAAGATCCGTGATACGCTCGCCCTCAGTAGCCCACTTTTCCCGAAGCTGAATACAGCCTCGGAGGTTGAGATTTCGAACGAAAGGACCGCCAGAGGTCATCAGTTTCACGAGACTATCGCTGGGAATTTCGCGGTAGTAGTCTGTGGTATCGACACACGACCACAACTGCCCATCATAACACATCTTATTCCAGGCTCGCGACACAGCAGAACAACGTACGACTTCCTTTGCGGTCAGATAGCGGAAGATGTTCATTTTGATCTCGTCAGGCATGCGGCCCCAAAAGTCGAAAACAACCTTCGGCTTAGACGCAGGCTGCGCGACCACAATCTCTTCTACCGGTGCAAATTCCAGCGGTGATCCACGGGATCCCGGTCTCAACTCGGTCGGCAAGGGAATTGTCTTCGGATTGGAGCCACTCGGAGAATCGGTCCCGACTAGGCGGATTTGGGCATTTCCTCCAGTGTGCTCATCCGGCGAGCCCGGGGTTGCAGGACGGACATTCAAGCCTCCGTATAGTTGTGACGAGCTTCCATTGCCGAGGCATGGATTGTATGCTGACTGACCGAGCGAGACACAGGATAAGGAAGCCTTTCCATCCCGACGGTAGCCGGTAGAATGAGATCTGCCGCGTCTGGTGAGACTCGGACTGGACGACATCCGCTGGAGGCTTTGTAGCAGCTTGTGTCGCCCTTTGAGCTTTTGGGGTCGCTCTAGAGGGATTTGGTCTGTCGAGGAGGTCGGACTCGCTGGAGAGACCGCCCCCGGTGAAGGCTCAATTTCGTCGGGGAATGCGGCGGCCATACTGGTAATTGTGGGACCAAAGTATGACGGTTAGTCGAAGGATGCGATGTGCCGCAAGGACTCTCCGGCTTGCGAACGGGAAGTAATCAAGACGATTCGGCAGAAGAAAGCCCTGAGGTACAGATAGGGAAAGTCGTGAGATTGACGACAGGCGCGGGATTCCGCAATCGAGACTGGCCTAGAAACTCATAGTGAGGTGATGCAAACCCTTCCGCAACTATACACAGCCAGAGAATCCGAACAATGACACGACCACGTTTTGAAGACAAGAAGACCAAAATCAAACACCGTCCTCCCTAGGGATGAAGCACTGCTTAGAAACTCTCAATGGGAAAAGGAGTAGGATGGTGTAAGAGTGCGAAGGAGAAAGTCAAGTTTGGGCGTAGTGGACAGTCTCTGAGGTGTTTTCTCGGCTTCCTTTTGGGACCGTCACAAACTGTACCATGGACCCCGTTAACCGCGTAACCCGGGGGGGGCTGGCCAGAGAATAGACTGCGGAGAGACGACTGGGTCGAAGTAGCCAAAATAGTTCAGCAAACGTCACTTGGGCATCATCCACAGGTGTCTTTTGGAAAATGGATGAGGGAGAAAGAGAGAGATGGAAGTCTGGTGTGGACTAGGGTGACATCGAGAGGATCTCGATAAACAGAAGGGGTAGAAGAAGGAGAGAAGAGATACCTACCTTTACAGAGAAGAGGGGAGACAAGACATCCGGTCAGATTTTGGGGGGATGTGGGTAAGCCCAGTACGTGTCATACGGCCATGGATAATCATTACTACCTACCTATTGTATGTGATTGTTATCCATCTATCTAAGGGAATGTCAGCAGACAATCAGAACAGTGTCGGCTGAGCCACCATTTAGTCTCTATCTATCATCCTTATCTATCATTTACACCAAGTCAAGATGATATGATATGTCTTTCTGGAAGCAACCATATTGGTGAATAATAATGGTAATATTGATACAGAAACATGTGGGAGTATCCAAGGCTCTCCGCCACCACTGTTAGTATTATGTATTATCAACCAAACCCCACAGCTTTATCATTTATCCTTAGGCACCCCACTTAGTGTCCGCCAGTGGCTCTTCTTGACTGTCACACTTCAGTCTACTCTGTATGTATCAATTCATACTGTCAAAAAGATGGTCATGGATATGCACATGGTCATAAGTATACCTAAGATTCAAGCTCATCTTGAATGGGGAATTTTGTCTAGAAGTAAGAGACTTCGTTATTTAGCATCAATAATAGATACAATCACGACGAAGATTCAAATCCCAAGTGCACAGGCCACCAGCACAAACACCAACGATACGGGCACCCACTAGGTAGATAGATACTCAAGGTCACTAAGGTATGCAGATGGAATTGCAGATGGAAGTTGATGTCCCGTCAAAAAACAACTGAAACTCTGAAATGAAACAATAACCAAGGCGAAAGACAAAGACGATACAAGGCATTTCACCCGAGTGGCAAGTTGCAATATTGGGTACGGACATCCACACCCACACCACAGAACCTAACCACAAACATAGATCAAAATTCAAAGCCCAATAAAATCACCCGCTATCTCTTTGTTCCTGACCATCACTTGAGGCGACAATCTCGGTGTCTCTCAGGTAAATTCTAGACGGTAGCAGCTAGTAAGTAGTAGTAGACTAATCCAAGACATGTATCTACTAGAAGCGAGAACTCCTCCAAGGCTCCAACCCTCCATCTCTGGAATCCTCATACAGACAACAGTAACCTTAGCACACTAGACTCTTTGCCTCTTCGCCTCACTCTTTTAAGACGGAGTCGCTGTAAGCACGCCACTTACAAGGGGTTATTGGTACATGGGCATGTTCTTATTGACAATACATGGCTCATGGGTACCTATCTATTATTAATATCCCTCATGTCCAGTAGTACTGAGCACTATGCAAGTCCGTAGTACGGATTAGTTCCTACGGAGATTGGAGTATTCCCCAGGACGACACAGGTCCATACCGATCCAGTAATCTCATCAACCTAACAGACGTGCCAAGACCGATTATGGGCTTGACAACCAACCATGTAAAGAGTCGATGCGCATTGACAAAGGAAATTCAAAAAGGTAGTATACTTCTTCTGTGAAGTGTGGGGATGCTAAGTCTCTTCTCAAAAGAGTATCTGAAGTATTCCTGGCATAGTTTTTGCTGGAAGCAGTGCAGCGATAATCAATCATAATGAGCAGATACTGGCCCTCTTATAGTCTGAAAAGGAACAAATGGAGTTGACAATCCAATTGTTAACCCAATGTCCCCATATCAACGACTGTTGGTCTAAAGGCGCTCCCTAACACACTTAGCCTGAACATAGTCTGACTTCCCCGCGATGCCCCGCAGCTAATCAAAAACAGTGGCCGTAGTATGGATGCCTTTGACATGCTTCATAGCAACTATTGCGCCTTGAGATTTTGAGAGATCTTCTACAAAGAATTTCACTAGTTCATCTCTCTTTACGTGTCTAAGCTTAGCCATTACTTAGAATACTATATTGTGTTGCTGCTTCATTTAATGTGCCTCCGGGCTACGCCATGCTATCCAGAACTTGGAGACGAAAAGCGGAAATTTGCAGCGAGGAAGAAAACTTCCCTTCTAGCCAAGTAAATAGAATTTGATGATGGGTATCTCAACTTTCGTACCTCTATGCATCATGATCTCTCATTCTGTTGAAACCTTCTTTGCTGTTCCCACCCTGTGCCTCGATGCTTCTCTTCTCCCTCAACTTTAGAAAGATACCAATATCATACAGCTTCATGGCTCCATCTTCTATTGTCGTCCTGCTCGTCATAAGAACCACTGCGATTCGATTCGTTTGAAACAATCTTTGACGCCATGCGAATTGGGTTGGTGGTTATCAAAGAGCGCGGAGGAAAAGGAAAAAGAAGAAGAAAAAAATTAAAAAAAATAAAAATAAAAATAAAAAAAACAAAGACAAAAGTTGGTCAGGGGGAGGGTTTGTGGTTGTGTGGTTGTGTGGTGAATAATAATAAAAATCATAATAAGAGCAGGTCGGTCATATTTCTTCCAGCGAAAAATGTCGGTATATAGAATTCTCGATTCGTAGGTGTATTCGAGCTGTTATCCAAAAGAATGGAACTGCCTGAGTCGCAAAGTGCAGGAAGCGTTTTTGCTCAGTTGTCAAGCATCCATGGATGCTCCATAATTTCAGTGATCGTCAAGCGGTTGTCGACATCCCGATCAAGCATCTTTCTGATCAGGTCAATACATTCCTCCGAGAACGGCAAGAATGGTATCCGGAGCGGGTGGTCCAGGATCTCATCGATGTTGTAAAATGGGTTTTCTTTATAGACGATGGTGTAGAGGAGGATACCAAGGGCCCAAATATCCTGCTCTTTGCCTCTGTAGGATTTGCCTTGCAGTACTTCCGGGGCGGCATAGTCTAGATGTCCGAAATGTCAGACTGGACGGCATTCGCCAAGGAGCAACAAGTGGATGGACTTACCAATAGTTCCCACAAAGACATCAAAAGGCCCGTTCTTAATATAGGCAGCGCTCCCAAAGTCGATGATTTTGATCCTGCCTTCACCGTCCAAAATCACATTCTCATCTTTGATATCCCGATGAACAACCAACGCTTTCGTATGAAGATGGTGGATAGCATCCACCACCTGTCGGAAGATGTTCCTGCACTCAACCTCGTCCATATTAACCTTGAGTTCGATGTAATCGAAAAGGTCCATCCCCGGAAGGCCGTGGGGCATCATTTCGATATAATAGTTGACATCGTCTTCAAAAAACCCCTCCATCTCAACTATGTTCGGGTGCTTCAGGCCGTCACGCCGAAGGTAGTCGAGAACGTGAATCTCCAGAGGTACTGTTCCCAGCCGACGGTCGCGAGTCCAGGTGTCCACAAGAATCCGCTTCTTTGTGACGTACTTCAGAACGACCTTCTTGGATGGGTTCTTCTTTAAGCGAGCGAGCTTGACTTCACCGTACGCTCCTTGTCCCATCTCCTCGAGAATCACATAGTCCGCAATTGTTCGTTTCTTCTGAATTTCCTTAGCATTGGCTTGCTTTACTTCAGGTACAGGTTGGACGGGTTGATCTGTTAATGGTTCCGATGCTGCTTCACTGAGTTGCTGACTTAATGTGGAGGACGGTATCCGAGGCTCTATCCAAGTCTTTTCGGTGCCTAGAGAGTGCGCAATAGATGGGCTCGCCGTCTCGGACCGTTGACGTGGCGGAGAAAAGTTTGCCGACGGCCCTATGGAATGGATCTTTCTCGAATAGGTGACCCATAAAGCATACACAAGTTCCTTTACGGCGATTGCATCTTCCTGATCGTCGCCTGATTCGTCATGTTTCTCTGCGTCCTCGCTGTAGTTATGGCGGAAGAAGGTCTCACTTTCCACGACGCGCAATTGAACATCCACGGCAATCGTAGACCCATCGCGATGGGCGGCAGTGATGCCCATCGGTTCCAGGAACACGGAAGCGACGTTCGCCTTGCCGTCGCGGAGGATAGAAAGCGTCCGTGCTCTTCGGAAGCTGGGTTCAGAGATCACCACTCCGTCCACCAAGGGCAATTTTTCCTCTTCACTGAGCACATTGAGTAGGGTGTCAAAGCCAGGTATCAGCTCGTTGACATGCATGCCCTCCGGTCGCTCGTGGCCGAAGAGTGCCGACGAGAACACTGGATTTGAACTGATCACCTTTAATGTGGACGAAGACAGGACCATCATCCCCGCAACGTGAGGAAAACTGGATACTCGGAGACAACGGGGATCTTCTTCCTTTCCAACAATAGCCGGGATGCAGATCTCATCAGAAGCCCGGGCAGCAAAGTATTTTGTTTCGGCAAGTTCTGGTATACCTTTGCTGGGCGGATTTTTAAGGCAATCCTTGGGCAAGTGAGGGAGAAGGTCTGTGATATGTGATCCAGGCTTGACCACGCCCCGGCCCCAGATCTTGTCGGTTTCTCCGAGGGCACCAGTGATGGTCCATGAGTCGTCGCAGGAGATGTAGGCGACGTTTTCCTGTATTTCCTCGAGAACCCAGATGAGACCCCCGCGTTTCTCCATCACCCAGATACTGGCGGAACCTTTCGTTCCATTACGCTTCTGAATAGGTATAACATCTCCACATAGCAGAACGCCTCGCGATTTCGTAGCTGGGTGATTCAGATGCCTCGAGTTGCGTTTGCTGGAGCCGTACCCGTCGTCGGTCTGGGCTCGCCCCGATTTGACCATTCGAGAAGGCGGTTTCCTGAGTAGTTGTGCGGTGACACCATTGCCCATCCCCATCGACTTTGGGTTGACCGGTCTAATTTGTGATCTTTCGGGCAAAGATTGGAGCTTCGCTGCGGCGCTAGTTGTGGGGTCTCGCAATTTGGATTCAAGCCACTGTCGATGGTCCTTTTGTACGACCTCTAGGATACTCAGCCTGCGGAGCTCCGCTTGTGTGACACCAAATACGAGGCACGACAGGTCATTGGCGGCCAATATTGTCCATGGTGCTTGTGACTCGGTCCTAAAGACGGCTTGTGAGATGGGGTTCCATTTGCTGCTATGGGTATGTAAGGCGGGAACGGGGAAGCCCAAGCCAACGGTCGAAGAGCTGATGGACGTAAAGGAGTCCGCGGTTGAGTATGGTTGTGCTAGATTCTCCATCAGCTTGTTCCGGGAGCAGACAGAGCTGACATCCGTGCCTGTACGTTTTAAGCTTACGCGCCTGGAGGAAGGAGCGGACTTCATCTCCCTTCTTTGGTGAGGTATGTTTCCAGTGGATAAAAGACCCCCTCCGCTCGCATCATGTCCTTGCCGTGTCGCCTTGGTCTCAGTCGCAGAGCCTCCAGGGCCAGTGAAAGCTTGATCAAAAATATTGCTGCTGTCCACATCTGCGGGGCTCGTCAACGGGCCACGCGACAAACCAACATAATTGTGCCTGTCCTCCTTCCCCGCAATACTTGTTCTCGACATGAGCTCTACCATACTCTGTGCCTCCGTATCGCCACCCATGCGAGCCTGCGCGTTGGCAATGGCGGGATTGCCGGCGGACCAGCCGAAACGGTCACGCATGAAATCTATGGATCTTTTCAGAATGTTATGACGACTGTTGAGTAGTTCATCGGATTGCTGAGCAAAGGAAAATGAATGTAACGACTCCAAGGGGAAACGATGGAGATCTTCCAAAGTGCTGATGCTGTCATTTGAGGATATGCGCATGAGACTGGGTTTAGAGGCCGTGCTAGATCGACGAGAAGGAGTGTTGCTTTGCGGGGATAAGGGAACGAGCGAAGACGTAGATCTATTCGGGAGATTCAGGGTTCGAGAGGGTGGTTGGCGTATACGGTCCAGCCCCGATGGGCCTAGTCCATGCTCATGCTCAAGTAGAGAAGATCTGCAGGACATCAAGATTTGATCTCAGTACCACTGTTTCTGCACCATCACATGCAACATTTTTCGAAATGCAAGGGGATCCGTCAACTGCTGCTTTTCTCATTTCTTACCTCGAGAGATCGTATCCAGAGGAAAGGGTATCGACCGAAAGCTTCATCGATTCATCACGCTGTAAAGGAAACCCTCCCATGAAGGATTCGGATTCGGGAGATTCTGAAAGGGGTCCCAAGGGGGACGACAAAGGACTCGGGTCGCCTATAATTCCAGAGACGTTGTTAGCCGGTGATTCGCGACGTATCAGACGGTAAGCGCGCTCATTCCCCATTTCTGCCTCCTACGCACTTTTCCTTTCTCTGCTTCCTCGCTTTCTAGTCTTATCCTTTCAGGGCCATGAGTGCCAGTTGTGGAAGCTCTAGTGACTCCGAATATGAAGAGTCCTCATTCGTTGCAGGCTTGATCACTCGACCGACGGATAGCTCCACGTCACAAGCAACAGATACTGTTTAAAGCACAACTGACACATGAAAGGGTGGGGCAGCGAGGGGAGAAAGAAAAGGCTCATGGACATCGAGGCAAAGGAAGAAGCGCATGACTAACCATCGGAGTTGTATGATGTAGTGCCCATAGTGTCCCAAGAAGCGACGATGTAACGACCCGCGATAACGATCGGATCGGGTGGAGAAAGGCTCAAATCACAAAGGCCCGAGTACTGAGAGGGTTGGGAGAAAAAGAGAAAAGAAACCCTGATATAATAATGCTACATGAGATGGATATTCGGCATTTGCGGCCTGCAAGCAGGAAGCTGGGTCAAGAACTCCGTTTTCCGAGTTGTTTTTTTTTTGGTCGGCGGGCGCGCAGGGACCAACGAGTGTAATCGATAAACCAACCCCCCTTTTTCCCAATTATTCGAAAGGGAAGGACGAGTGCACAAAATAGTAATTGTCTCCTCTAAGAGAAGGTCGTCTACTCCGTACCGTCTGATTGAAGAATATGCGATCAGCGGACTGAGCGAAAAGAGGAAATTTTGGAGGGCAGCTGCCTCGTAGGTCACAGGCACCACCACATAGTTGCCGTAGCACGCGGAACTCCAGGGTATGATAGACAAATCTAACGTCTCATTGAGGGCTCCAAGAATACCTACACTTTTGTTATCGTCCTTGGCTAATGACAGAAGGTAGATAAATCCACGTTTAAGTAGACAAAAGCCAGAATTTGAGACAGAAAGAAGAGAAGACAGAGTGAAGAAGAGAGCGGACAAAAAGGCGGAGAGATGTGATGGATGGAGGAGGGGATAGGGAAGACAAGTAGGAGTAGCACATAAGTAGTCTAGTTGATGGATATAAACCACGGCTTTTGTTGTTTTTATTGTTGTGGAGACTATGGATGTGCTTAGAACTTAGGCACATAAGTAGTATCATTCATCTCATGCCGGAGGAGAGTAATGACGTTCTTCCATTATTGGGCTTCCCTTTACTTGTATAGAGTGATTGGCACCTATGGAGTACAGTTTTCTTTAGCCTGTTCTTAGTCTTGCACGTGGGATACAACTGGTATTCCAGAAACATCGGAGGATAGCAATAAAGTGAGAGTATGGTTATGAGGTTGTACCTATATAGATGATGAATCAGTCAGGCATACTTGGTACCTTACCTAGGATATGTCTCCGGAGTCTCAACGAAGGTAGAGGGAGGTACCTGAAGAACAAAACAATCATAGGTGATGTAATGTGGTAGCTCCTCGGTATGAAATCCTTAAGGTTATACCAGTCCATGCCACAAAACGGCTCCCAATATAAGATCAGGACCAGGTAGTGGTCAGCATCATTTGAAGGTGGAGTCAATAGTTTTGGTCTTATTGTCCCATTCCCTCCACGCCTCCATAGGGATCTTTCGAGCCACAATGGTTGACCCCTCGTGTCTATGATCTTGTGATCAGCCTATGCTTCTCTCTTTCTCTTGTTAATAGTGGGTCCGTGGAAACTCCAGGGCCGCTCCAGGGAGGTCGTCGTAGGTTGGGCTTATGTATCTAGGTACCCTGTACTCCGTAGACTACCTACCTAGCACACATGAAAGCCCAATGGGGGCAATCTGGGGATCTCCGCGCCGATCAACTTTCGTCCACAAACACTACACAGTAAACTTTTTGCCCTCATTTGCATGATTCTTGTATTATGACATTGTGTAATTGTAGGCTGTGCCAGGTTCTTATAACGCTTCAACCAACCGCTCAAATAATGCATCAGATTCAATGAAATGAAGGAAGGAAGGAATGTCCCCCGATGACATCTTTCAGTCTCCAAGCCATCCTCCTAATGCGTGCTATCGCTTCCTTGATCTTGACCCTTGGTGCCCCGAAGACTCCGCAAGGCCAGACTGTCGAGCTCATCCTGAGAGCTTTTCTGCTCATCTGCTCCATTGCCAAACAGTGTATGGGGTTTATTCCTTGTGTCACCGTGTCGAGTCTGCTCCGGCGGTACCGAGGCCGGGCTGACAAAACTGGAAAGATGTCGGTTACCACCAAGCATCCAAGAGAACTCGGAATCTGCCAGAGATGGGCGAGCTGCGTGTCTTAATGGCAGTGATGAAGGCATTTTGTTACTTGATGGCAACTTGTGAAGCTTAGTCTCCACTGCGACAGATGGCCTGTCAGGATCGCTTAGGGCTTGCTGCCCTTCTCTTGCCACATTTTCTTCGACCTTCTTCTCCGTGGATATGGGAAGCTCAGATGGGACTCTCAGAGAGATATCATTAGCCGCACTCTTACGTCCGGCAGCAGTGTTCAAAGCCTTGGAAGGGTCTTCCAGGCATGTCTGAACCGACTGAACCTGCGTGAGAGCTTGTCTCAGGGCGTCCGCAGTCGTGGTCTCGAGATCTTCTGCTTTCATCAATTGAGCGCGTATGTCGTTCAGAGCTTGACTGAGTGTCTTCGCAAGTGATTTGTTTCGTTCTTCCAAGATTTGTATCTGAGCTTTGAGATTGATGACCCTTTCTGGCTCCTCAGATTTCGACAAGTTCCTTGTATGCACCACGGTTGGGTTGCTATCATACAAGGTAGTACGCGGGAGCCTCTCCGGCTGCATCGCCTGCATATTCCTCCTAGCTTCGTTGACTGCACCTCGGACTGCTTTGGCTACACCCCATGATTCAGTCCGTCGCTGAAGACCTTCGGAGAAATCCTGGAGTAGACCTTCGAAGCTCTTGGGACTACCCCTCGCGGGTGATCTTGAAGGAGAGCTTGTTTGGCTGTCCTCTCTGGAGTCGCTGCGCAACTGGAATCGTTTCAGTGAAAGAAATCTTTCACCTGACCTATCGAGCGTCTTCGTAGGATCGGGTGGCTTTCCCGAGTATTTTGAGATGAGAAACCTGCCTCTTTCTGGTGTGGGGTTTTGCTCCAGATACAGGCCATCATGCACAAAGGACTGTGGTGATTGCGGTTGCGGGGAAGGATAGCGAAGTAAGGTCGTCAGAGCGCTCGAATATTCGGCACCCAGTACTAAGGTGTATCAGCATATCAAGGGACAAGGATATAAATGAGGGTCCATCTCAGACGTACATTGCCACCGAATGCGTAGCAGCATTGCAACACATATGAACTCTATAAGCTCCGATCGCAATCCCTCTGCAAAGAGGAGATCCCACAAGGAAAGTACATCTTGAAATGGAAATTCACGACCAAATAACAGACGCATCCACCGACTACGAGAAGGATTAGCAAGCCTTCCTAGTTTACCAAAGAGACGAGTTCGTACTGGTTTACTTACGTGAGAAAGATCTGAGGCAGAATTTCCAGCGCTTGTAGGTGATCGGCCAACTCCAGGTCTGTTGTCGTCAGGAGGTTGTGATGAATGTGCTGACATTGGTTGACAATGGGTATCGTATCCATCTGACCGTTGGCAGAGCGTTCCTTGCTATGCTCATAGTAGACTCGAGTTGTTTGCATAACCGAGCAAAACAACGCGAAAGAGTCGTGCTCAACATAGTCAGCATTGAGCAGCTGCAGCATCAACTCATCGCCCTCTTCCTTAGCTGAGGGCTCTTCATGTACCTTCCCATCGACGGCATCTCCGTGAATAACCCACAGAATAGGCGCCAATAGCTCATGCATGCCTTGTCGATAACCAAGATCCGGGTTTAACTTTGCGTAGATAAACAGAATATCAATCATTTTCGCCTTGGTGGCGGGCTCACGGAAGAAGAAATTCTCTTGTAAGCATCGATCAACATCTTGGGATATATCCGCTCTCATCTGCTCATCATGTCGTAGAGTTTGCCAGGGAGACTTTTTGTAGCAAACACAAGTCAGATGTGCGAGTAATGGCAAGCCACGGTAGCAGACTCGAAGTAGCATACCTCTTCATCATCCGCTAGTGGGTCGATTGTTGACTGCAAATCATCTGGATGCTCAATGTATTTCAGATAGTGCGCTTTCAGCGCGGTATATGCGTCCCGCGACTCGGATGTCCTTCGTGACCACTGTGTGCGATCGAGATCGTCGAACAGCAGGAATGCCTGCAGGCAAGTAAGCAAAAGTGACAGTCTTGCCAAGTTCCGCGGCTGCATGCCTTCCAGCAGACAGATCTCAATCTGTCACTGCACAACTTGTCTCCTTGTTCTGATTTAATCGCATTTCGGAGGGCAGAGGGCGTCACATTGTCGCGAAACAGGGTATTCCATCTCTGTCTAGAGAAACCATTAGCAAGTATTCTCCCGTGGCGTTACAGGCAATTGTACCTCGTATCTGAAAGGGTTCTCATCTCTCCATAGGTTCTCAACGGCGATGTCTGAGTGAGCAGACTTGCGATGACGGAAGTTGGATTGTTGAGTGTTGCGGAATGGATCATATGAATGGAGCCTTGGGCCGATCATTGTTTTAGTGGCGGGCGGTCCCCGCCATAAGGAAATGCACTTGTTGACGATCGTTATGGCCCCCTCAGGATCGTCCAAATTCTCATTCTCTTATTCGAAACCACGCAATGATCCATGATCTCTGTATATACTCAAGAAGCAGATCCGAACCATAGAAATTCTGGTGGGTTGAACTGCAGATCAAGAAACTGGTGGAGTACAACTTTCGGCATCATCGGAGTTCTACTGGGAGTTGAAAGAATTCCACCTGCTCACAAGGAATCTCTAAATCTACGAAGTGACTATCATTCTCGCCTCCCATTTCAATGTCCGCAGACCTATTCGCCGAATTTGGGTACAAGGCACCATCCGCGCCGCCTTCAAATGTCTCACATCAGCGACAGCCCGGGCTGCAAGCAAACTCTCTGATCCCCGATTTAGACATATTAGAAGATGCTGTCTCCTCTAATCCTCAACCCAATGTTCAAGATCAGCACTCTTCGTCACATGAAAAACAATCACAAGTACCAGCCAACCAGTTTGCAGCAGCCTTCAACACAGATTCTTCAAAGTGGCAGGACTATGGCGATGGAAATAACGTATTATTTGACGCTACTTTGGAGTCTATCTCCGATGATGAGGACGAGGACTGGGGCGAATTTGAGTCCGCAGAGTCAGCAACTGGCCAACGCCAGTCAGCAGCGCGCTCTCAACAGCACGAGGGGCTACGGGACAGTCAACATAGACCTGAAGACGCTCCTGCGTTGCTTGACGTGATGGATACGCTATCAATTGAGGACTCGAAAGCACCAAAGACCATTAAGCCCACTATTAGACAGACGATCGATAAGCCTAGGTCATATATCAAGGCTGTTGCTACTATTGCGAACCCTGATCCTGCGCAGGACGATTCCTTCGAGGATTGGGGTGAATTCATTGACGGACCACCTGCAGAGGTCAAGCCAGTGAAGTCCCAAAGCGCTTCCGGATTGAGCTGTCCTCAGGGTAAAAGCACGCAGGCCCGGACAGCCGTCGTTACGTCACTTAATTTTACTAGGCCGGGAGACAGTGTATCCGAGTCTCAGATCCGTCCTACAAACATACCTCCACCGTCTGTTCTCTTGGAGTTATTCCCCAGGCTCTTTGAGCAAGTTCGTGAAGAAGCTACCAAAGCGAGGAGAGATCTGCAACAGGAAGACCAGGTCGAGACCGCCGCGTCCTCTGTGCTCTGCACCTTAAAGGCTGCTGCACGAGTAATTGCTGGTCGCACTCTGCGGTGGAAAAGGGATACGATATTGAGTCAAAGCATGCGAATAGGCCCCGCACGTTCAGGGAAGCCAGGCGGAATGAAACTCAGTACTGTAAACAAGAACGAGAGTATTAAGGAACAACAGGAGGCTGTTGACGTGCTCACGATGTGGCGTGATCAAGCCGCACTCTTCAATTCTGTGATCCAGGCATCCGGAAGACAGCCGATCCAGCCCATTGCAGAAAATGCTCGGGTAATCACAGCCACCGCAGCCCAGGGAGCCATCAAAGCCCCTCACGCTTGCGCGCTTTGTGGACTGAAACGTGATGAGAGACTGCCAAAAATTGACGAGAACGTGCAAGACAGCTTCGGAGAATGGTGGGTCGAGCACTGGGGTCATAGGGAGTGCAAAGAATTTTGGGAAAAGAACATGGGCCTTCTAGCTCAACGATAATAATGCCAAACAGACCATAGTTAAGACAACACATTCTCCGAGTCTCTAGGATTTGCACCTTTTTAGCGCGGTGTTGGAACGCTATTAGTTGAGGCAAAACTTAACTTTCTTTGCACCATGACTTCTTTATCTTCACAGTTCAGAGTATCTGACTTGCACCAGACGACGTTTCATTGCAGAGAGTCATTTGCTCGAGCTGACATATCATTTGGGAGGATCTAGCTCCGTATATAGTCCGATAACAGAGATAAGACCATCCTATCCTGCCTGCAAGAGATCGCTGACTTGTATGAAACAAACTTGAGGTAGGTTCAACTGAACACACTAATTCTTTAAGGATGAAATAATGGTTCAGGATGTTAAATGATCAGGAGCTGCTTAAATGCTCCCGCGCCACTAGTGGTGGCTGGTGTGGGCGTCCTGACTGTGTCACACCTGCTCCGTAAACTTACACTTGACCTTGTTCCCGTGCGGGGGTACTTAAGTGTCAGCTTGGAATGCTACGCCTCTCTTCCCTGCCTCTGAATGACTGCCTTGTGTACAACTTTGTACTTTCAGCGTCATTTGTATCACATCTTCGCTGCTCACTCTTATCTTCCTAATAGCTTCCTTGAAGCAAATTTAGAACTTTCTCGGTCAACGTACATGATCGCTTTCCCCTGTTGCTTCAGCCACTGTTTCCGCACTACCCCTTATATACTTCACTTTTTCCAAAGTGCGTGTACAGACAGGCCATAAAGCTGGGGGCGTATCTTCAGGAACTGTCCAGTTGTTCAGGTTTGAAGTCACTCCAACTATAAGCAGTGTTGGTGGAGTTCTTATCAGGCTGGGAACTCCTTGTGAGGAAATCAAACAGGGCGGGCAATCCGGAACGACAGTATTTCTCGTTGATCGCCTCCCCTCAAAATTATTCCAACCCCATACACTAAGACAACTACGGATTACCCACCTCGTCATCGTTGAGCTCGCACTCCTGGACTTTTCTTGAGAGGTCGGTGGTAGTGGGAAGGCAAAGCGATACAGGTCATCATGGGTCTTGCGTACAACGTCTATCTCACTTCCAACAAAATATTCGGGTGCAAGAAATGCAAAACGCACCTTGCTGATTACAATGATATCATCAGCCGGGTGAGTATTACTGCATTTTGGTTCATCTATGTTCATGATTGATGCATCTGCTGATCCATCCATCTCTACCTTCGCAGAATTTCCGTGGCCAACATGGCAAGGCATACTTGTTCAACACCGTTGTCAATGTAACCCACTCCGAGGCTGTGGAGCGTAACATGACCACCGGAAGGCATATCGTCCGAGACATATTCTGCAGGCAATGCACCGAACTAGTAGGGTGGAAGTACGACAAAGCGTACGAGGCGAGTGAGAAATACAAGGAAGGGAAGTTCATCCTGGAGGAGGAATTGTTATGTGTGGTGTGTTGACGGTCCGCTTCCATTCTGTGATGATGGGCTGTCCATTCCACAACAGAAGAGGCATTCAACTACCTGACAACAATATCCTCAGTGAGCGACTTGGAGTAAGGATGTGTGACTCAAACCTTCAAAGACTGATTCGAGTGAGCGTTCTAGTGTGGGTGTTTAGAGGAAAGGCGTTGGACAAGGCGTTCTGGACTTGATAAGTTTTAAACTGCATGGGCGTTTACAGCAGGTTAGGGGCGCAATTGAGGGACCCCATATCAATGCACCATTGAACGATTCATCTTCATAGCTCTTTATATATCGCACCTGCGTACCTTCATTCTACATTTTCACCCGGGATTGTCTATTGCAGTCTCACTTTCCAGCGAGTCGTAGCTTTACATCAAAATGCAGATAACTTAGATTTTTGTCCCCATAGCATGCATATATTGTCTGCGTGGGAAAGGGCTATCGAGCTCAAGGCCATAGCATGTGACGGCATGGCCAATACTTTCTGTTTTCAATAATACCTAGCTGACAGAGTGTCGTACGCCAATGCCATCTCCTTCCTCTAGATTGTCCTGCACATCCATTAAGTGTAAGCGGTGGATACTATATACATTTATGAAGACCAATTACCACAAGGTAAGTCTCTCCCGAGTCTGATATCCTATTTTTCCAGTTTCTAATTTTATTCAGTCATGAATGGAATAAATGCAGACTGTATGCTGCCCCACCCCAAAGAACAACATGAGGGACTGCCGTTATCGGATGTGGAGTACCAGGACAGTCTTTCAATTCAATCCAGACTCGTGCCTCGAGACGAACCCATGTTCAGACATCTTCCACCAAGGCACATTACATGAACAGTAGCGAGCCATATTTACCCAGGATGGCCACCAAAGATACTATGCGTGCGGTTGTGTTCCACGGGCCCTTCAAGGTGGCCGTTGAGGAACGACCGGTGCCCAAAATTCAGGATCCGGCCGATATCATCGTGAAGGTAACTTATACTGCTCTCTGTGGGAGGTAAGTATACCCACTTCTAGTGGATCGTATATATGCTAATTGAGCCGGATCATGGTAGCGAGCTTCATATGTACCGTGGCATTGAGCCTTCTGGCTCGGGGTTTATCATGGGCCATGAATTCACTGGTGTTGTTGTTGAGACTGGTGATGCTGTCAAGAAATTTCAGAAGGGGGATAAGGTTGTGAGTGCATTTACGACGTCTTGGTAAGTTAAATGATTATTAGTAGTGTTAAAAAGGGGAGTTTCGGTTGGATTTAGTCTACGGAGTATGTGTTGATATAACCCAAAAACAGCGGGGAATGCTTTTACTGCAAGCAAGGTTTCTCCTCCCGATGCGAGGAGAGTGTCCTGTTCGGATGCGACGCCTTGGATGGTGGACAGGCGGAGTATGTGAGTGCTCTTTCCTGGCGTCACGACTTCTTTCTCCTAAAACATTGACCTATGCGTCATAGGTCCGGATTCCAAATGCAGAGGGCAGCGCCATGAAAGCACCCGAGGGCGTCGAGGATAAGTTCCTTGTCCTCATGGGCGACATCTTCCCAACCGGCTACTTTGCGGCTAGCAATGCGTTCAAGGGACAGACCCAGGAGCAGATTTCCGAGCAGACTGTCGTGCTCATTGGCTGCGGCCCTGTCGGGATATGTGCTTTGATTAACGCACTGGAGTTCAAACCGAAGCATTTACTGGCTGTTGACTCTATCCCGTCCAGACTTGAACTTGCCAGGTCCCTCGGTGCCGAGCCTTGGAACTTCAAGACAGACCGAGAAGGACTGGGCAAGCGCGTTAAAGAGTTGACTAATGGTCGAGGAGCGGATGCTGTCATTGAGGTGGTTGGTCTTAGCCCAGCGCTGAGGACAGGATTTGATCTGCTGCGGCCATGGGGTATTCTCAGCAGTGTGGGAGTTCACAACGGAGAGGTGAGTCCCTACCATCGGGTAGAAATTCAAGAGCGATGGTCCTGACCACTTTCAAGATTCCGTGGGATGGAAGCGAGGCATACGGGAAGAACCTCACTGTCCAGATGGGCAGATGCCCCGTCAGGTCTGTTTCTGAGGCAGCGTTGGAGGTTCTGAAGAAGAACCAGCATCTGCTAGGGTATGTCTTGTCTCCGCATCATCTTGTGAAGAGCTTCTGCGGAAGCATGCTTGTTTGACTTCTACTCTGGCTAATGAGAAGTCAGATTCATGACGGACAATATCATGCCCCTCTCGCAAGCTGTGGAGGGCTACGAGATCTTCAATGCGATGAAAGTCCAAAAGGTCATCTTCGAAGCTGATAAATGAAATTGTATCCATATCCCCAGGACATTGTAAATAGTCATCTCCTGGAAAATTATGGCGTCACATGCGTATAGGATATTCAAGTCACGTTTTATCCTGTCTGGGGAGTGAAGCTGTGTGCTGTACGGAGTAGATTCTCCACGCAATGACAAACCTTGTATTAAGAGCAACTCAAATAGTCCATGAATATTAAATACTCTTGATATAAAAGCTTGTCTTCTGCAGCGGAAAAGCTGCCTACCTACCTATATTATTGTCAACAATGGCTGGGCAGAGTGAACGTTGAAGTCATCCATCATATCTCCGCCTGCCAAAAACAAACAAAATCCCCAACCCAATAAGAGCCAAGACAAACCTTCCCGCAGTAATAAACCACCCTTTCTCTTCTTTCTCTCTTTCTTTCTGCCTCCTCCTCTTTTCCCATTATTATTTTATTCTCATCTTCTTTCCTCTCCTCCTCTTCACCTCCCCACCCTTCCTCCCTCTCAGTAACTTATCCTCTTTCTCCTCCATCTACCGTCTTCTCCCACTCCATCCCTCCGTTTCCTTCTCTTCTTCCTCTCCGTCTCCTCTCCCTCTCTTCCTTCTTCCTCCTCCTTCTCACCATTCCGTTTTCCCGTCTCTCTTGGGATTTCTTCTTCTCCGCCTCCCCCGCCCGCCGAAACCCCTCTGAACAGCTCAACGACTTGACCCCCCCTCCTACTCCTCTTTGTCCGCCGGTATACCCTCATCTACTCCGTCCCATCTCTCCTCATCAGCTATCCATCTCTTCTCGACTTTGATCATCCTTCCTAGGTAGGGCATCTCCGTTTCATTCATTTATTTTGATGCCCCATGCGCACAAATCCACTTCACATCTGGTTCTCTCTGGTGTCTCTTGTGTCTATGCCACGCTCTCCGCACCATGAGCTCATCATGAGCGTTCTGGATGGGATCACTGGTCAACCATTTTGGTGATTTGAACGCATTCTCTGACCAGTAATAGAACGACCCATTCTAGGACCTTTTCGTCGAAATTTACACCACACCTGCGAAGACCTATATCAATCACTCATCTCCACTTCTAAACCATGGACTCCACCGAGATGCGCGACGCCCCTCCCGTCGACGAGACGATGACCGATGCCATGAATGTGGCCGACGAGGGTGACATGGAAGTCACTCCTAAGACCGAAGAGGAATACGCGCAGTCTATGCTGACCCTCCGCGCCATCGTCTCCTCTAAGGAAGCAGGCGTGATTATCGGCAAAGCCGGTAAAAATGTGGCCGATCTCCGTGATGAAACCGGTGTCAAGGCTGGCGTGAGCAAGGTCGTTCCTGGTGTTCACGATCGTGTCTTGACCGTCACGGGGCCTCTGCAAGGTACAGCCCGGGCTTATGCTCTGGTGGCCAAGGGCTTGCTTGATGGAGCGCCGCAAATGGGCATGGGTGGTATTGTGAACAACAATGGAACTCATCGTATGTTTCCCTTGCTACCTGCAACGAACATGCCAAAGCAGGCGCCCATGTACCTTTTGAACCCCATTTACTAATGTATATTATTTAGCTGTCCGCCTCCTGATCTCCCACAATCAAATGGGAACCATCATCGGTCGACAGGGCTTGAAGATCAAACACATCCAGGATGCTTCTGGTGTGCGAATGGTCGCTCAAAAGGAAATGCTTCCTCAGTCCACCGAGCGGATCGTGGAAGTGCAGGGAACCCCAGAAGGTATTGAGAAGGCTGTTTGGGAGATTGGAAAATGCCTCATCGATGACTGGCAGCGGGGAACCGGCACAATCCTCTACAATCCTGCCGTTCGTGCATCTGTTGGCGGATCCGGCTCGATGAACACGAGCAGTGTGGGCAATGGCTACAGCAGTCGTCCCTACAACCGCACCGGTAACGGCGCCGATTTCAGCGACAGCCAATCCGGTGGCTACGGCAGACGCTCTAATCCAGACACTTCCAACCGCGGCTACCCCCTTGTCACTGAGGACGGCGAAGAAATTCAAACTCAGAATATCAGCATTCCAGCGGACATGGTCGGTTGCATCATCGGTCGGGGTGGAAGCAAGATCACCGAGATTCGCAGAAGCTCTGGAGCTCGCATTTCCATCGCTAAAGCGCCTCATGATGAGACTGGAGAGCGCATGTTCACGATCATGGGCAGCGCTCAGGCTAACGAGAAGGCTTTGTACTTGTTGTACGAAAACCTCGAGGCCGAGAAGACTCGCCGTAGCCAGTTGCCTCAGGAATAATTGCCGCTATATGGGTTTGAGGCTCGACATGTTATTTCCTGTTGCATGTTGTTCCGTCACAGTGCCAGCCTTTTTCCAGAGGAGCAAGCATTTTTTCTCAATGTCCTGCTTTCGATTTCGTGTTTCTCTATTTCATCTCGTCGACTTCATTATTTCACATCCTATCCAGCTGTCTTAAATCACTGGCAAACCACAGAGTTGCTGCGGTGGAGCGCACGTACCTATCAAATACCATGAACCTCACGACCTTCCACCGGTCGCCTCATGCTGAATGACTCGAGCTCAGAAAAACGACTGACACCATTTACTGATACTCAGTATCCTATGTCTCCTCCCAGCTCCCTCTCTTTGGACCTTTTCGTTACCAAATCCTCCTCTGGCTCCTACTTTACCACCTCACGTCTCATCTGAAAAGTTGCTCGCTGCAATATCGTTGTCCTCCTCTAGCTCCCGACTTTTTTTCAAGATCCGACCTGAATATTGTTCCCTAACTAATATTTTACACTTAACTCGCGATGTATCATGTCCATTTACATGACTTTTCTCTGGTGCAACTGCCCTCTATGCTTCATACTCAAAGCATATATCATACGGGCTTTTCTCCTGTTTCCTGTCTCCTCCTGATGTCTCATCTTTGACAAGCCCATCCAACATGTGTGTCCGCATGAGCTCATCGTGTAAGCCGTGGATCAAGAGAAGAATAATGATTTTTATGAGGCTAATTCATCTGACAATCGAGTCGACAAATGGATTACAGTGAGCAAATGAGTGTATCTGGGTAGCTTACGCCTAACCTCACGAGATTGAATTGTAGCTTTCCACTGGTACGTCGGCCTTCCGACATAATCTCTCTAGTAGTCAATTCCCGGTTACGTTGTAGACGAACCATGATTTCGAATTACATATAGAGCTATTCAACTTTGAAATCAAATTTGGCGTTGCATTTACAATCATTCATCATGCAATTGTTGGCTTGGAAACAGTTACAACAGAGAAAGCCAACTTTGTACATGAACTTAGAGACGAACAGTTGAGAAAATGAACGCGAATGAAAAGAGTATGTGCTGTATGCACCTGAACGTCTGGATGCAACCAAAATTGGATGGGTGGCCGCTCTCTTCAAACCGAGAGCATGAGGTAGAAATATTTATAGGTTGAAGTGGAATGAGTAAGAAAGCAAAGGAAAGGGACTGTAGACCAGACCATGTACGGTGCTGAGCACGAAACATCGAATGGGATGTAAATGTCGTCAATGCAATGCATGCATGCAGGTATTTATGTATCGGATGCGAGTCGGGAAATTGAAATTGAACGTTTATCGTAAGGATATGCTTTATGTGCGAAAGGAATTTATGATATGTCGCCAATCGAGCCAGTATCGCTGCGTATTGTTTAATGCTCCAGTGACAAGAGACGGCAGCGTAATCGAGTAAGACGCATGGTAAAGACGGAAGGAGAAAAAAGCGCCGGCTGAAGAATATCCAAAACCCAGGTATGAATCGCTACGTTAGATGAAAAAAAAGCCGTAAATGATGCCGATGGACTCCGGGTGGTTTAAAGACGAAAAATGTACAATGAACGAACAACGAGAACGAGCCGAATGATCAATCGATGCTCACGTCTAAAGGGTCTTCATATGCGGCCATCGGTCGCTGCCTGAGGCCAAATGTTCGTACTCCCATGCTATTTGCTCGTACTCGGTTCTGCTGGATGGGGGTATAGCTGGCTGCATGCTTGCTTGATGGCGCAGTAATTCTCGTCTGAGACAGACCTTGTTGAGAGGGCATACCATCACCCTGGCTGTCCGGCACTGAACCATCACCTGCAGCTGAAGGAATGCCAGAGGCACCATATCTGCGAGAACCTGCAAGGATGTTCAAGCGGGATGTAGTCGGCGTATAGTTGGATGGAATTGCAAGGCTTCTGCGGAGTGGAATGCTGGACTGTGGCACGGTCGGGGTGCGTGGTTGCTGTAGCTGTGTACGCGGTGATTGATACGACAATCTGGAACCTTGAGATCGCTGAGGATCTGAGACAGGTTGGGAGGCGGTATAACCACGCACGACTCGCTGGCGCGGCGAGAGGCCATGTGCCGCTGCTGAATTGTCAATGTCGGTCATGGCTCTTGAGATCGAACGACTATGTGGACTTGGCTGGCCGGCGTCTTCGTCCTCGGGCTGTAGTCTCTTGCTACGCAATGTAGTTGAGAGACGGCTGAGTCGGCTTTTAGGAGCAGATGCGCTGGGCGAGGAGGGACTATTGTCATTCGGGAGGGCAGGATGATCTTTTCTGCTGCTGCTGCTGTTCCCGTTCGTATTGGCCAGGCTTGCCCGACGTGCCTCTAGACGACTAGATACTTGAGTGGTGCTCTGTCGTCGACCTGGGACCTCAGGTTCCAAGGTCATACTGCGTCGAAGGGAACGACTGAGCATTGATGACTCCTCGTTCGTGCTGGTTGGTAATTGGGTTATAGTGTCATCGTCGTCGCCTGGCATTTGCTGCTTGGAAAGCTGTTCGTCTGACAAAGCGAGACACAGCTCTGTCAAGCTGCGGCAGACACTGTCGGCTTTTCGCCTAGACTGCCGGTCAGAGGAGCCGTAGCCATTCACAACCGAAACTCCACCAGAGGGAGCTTTATTAGTGCCTAATAGGCTTGAGAGGGCCAGCGCATCTGTGACCGCGGCCTCAAGTGATTTATACACCTCGTTTTTCAATACATATTTCGCTTTGAGTAGAGCCGATTGCAAAAGCGGGTGCACTGGATTAGTGGCCGTGGCAGCCTCGGTCTCAGCCGTTGAGGAGCTTATCTTATGGTTGTGGTTTGGAGAAGAGGATACGGTCGTTACTGTAGTGGTTGCAGTTCGTGGTCGCTCTCCGGATATTGTCGATATCGCAGCTTGAGACGACGGCGGCAGCTTTCCGGTCAATTCCAGCTTCTTGATTCGCGACTTCAGATCTTCCAGCTCATCCCAGACTGTAGACGGAGCAGTCGTTGACATGGTCGACTCGGTGCCATCCTGCCGAGACCGATCAGGCTCGGGCCGCGGCCGCTCTGTGACATCGGAGCCCGACGGCTGTCGACTGCTTCGAATGCTGGCAAGAGCAGAATGGCGGTAAACTCGAGGATCTTGTAGCGAACCCCTTCTTTCTATCTGAAGTTCTGGGGAGTATGGTGATCCGTCTGGGCTTGCCTGACCAAGCCTACTTCGCGATATGCCAAGAGTTGACCTCGAACTCGAGCCTATTACCGAATGTCGCGAGCGGGGATGGTCATCAAGGGGATGAGCGGAGGCCGAGTACGAGTAAGGTAGGGCGCTGTAAGGGTTTGATGGAGAATTGTTGAGGGAATGCAAGGGGGTGTCGTAAGTGCTTAACCGTAGTTGATCAGGGGAAGGTGTCTGTTCATTCAATCGAGAATTGGGTGAACGAAGATGACCGCCAGACAATCCAAGCCGCGACTGTATTGTATTCAACTGCTGTCAGCAAAGACCGCGTGAGGACACCCGGTAAGGGTTACGAAAAGTGTCGTGATCGCCGTCGAAAACAGATTCTCACTCACCCGTCTAAGTTCTGAGCGCCCCAAGGAGTCGCGCCGCTTTGAGTCGGACCGGGCAATATTCAAGAAGATGTCCTCATTCTTGGATTTGGGATCTTCTGCTAGTGGCGTTCTAGCGCCATCCTCTTGATCGGTCTGATCTATGCTGTGGATTGCGCGATCGCGCTCGTTTGCCAACGGGCTCCCTTGAACGTAAGTCGCTGTTGATACCGGCATCCTCCTCTTCACATCTGCCTGGGTCGGTTGCTGAGGGTGTGACAAGGACTGATTACGACGTCGCTTCGATGCATTGAAACTCAAGGCGTTGTCGATCGAGTCGGTATCGAACGGCAGGGCAATATCGCTAGATTTCTCTGAGATTGACAACGGAGACGGCAAATGCGACGGAGAAGCAGGCGCGGTTGAATCGCGAACACGGGAGATACTGAAGGCTGGCACTGACCGCCGAGACCTGTCGTACAAGGAAGGGCGCTGGGGGTTCGGGGTCGGATCAGCGTCTGAGGGTGTTTCACTGGGAAAGCTAGCTTGGGTCGTCAGGGCCCGCTTGTGCAAGGGAAGCTGATACTCGAAGCTAAATCGACTCTGCGGTAAACGAGGTAATGAAGCAGAAGACGGATAGGGATGCGATGATGATGATGAGCTAGAGTTTGCTGGTGCTGCTGCTGCTGCTGTTGTTGTTGTTGTTGTTGTTGCTGGTGGTGCTGATGGGGAGTCGCTGGTACCGGCGGATATTAGCGTGGCTGCCCTGCCCGTGTCACGGGAAGCGGCCGCAAACATGACGGTCTGACGGCTGAGAACTTTAGTGTTAGCGTTACTCTCGTCGTCGTGATGAGACTTGTGGCTGGGTCCTTGATTATGTTGATGATCATCTAAGTGGTAGCGTGTTTTCTGTCGCCGTTTCCAGGAGTTCTCGGTCTGTGTTGGACTCGCCGATGACCCTATCTGGCTCAGCCTGGGTGAGGAAGAAGACGAAATAGAGTCTGCTGCCCATGGAGGATTCGCAATCGAGCGGCGAGCCAGAACGCGAGGCCGGTCTCTCTGGGGTACATGGATGGTATGATCCAGAAGCACAGCGGAATCTGTCTGTCGGCGGCGACGTCGATTATGAGAATCTGGCAGATCGTCCGGGGGGGATCGTGGGATGATGGTGGACACGGGAGAAAAAGCTACGTCTTTGGACATCTGCAATGTAGGTCAGGCATCGACACGATGCACAATTGCATGTTCGAATCGAATTGGTGGGAAGACTGGCAGGTGATGAGGGAAGATCTGGACTTGAACTCTTGGATTTTCTGGAAACAAGCAGGGAAGTGAGTATCGCAGAGAGAAAAAATACATCACAATTGTCTACGGAGTACCACCCTAATCAAGTAGATCTAATAATAACAGTAATATCCATGACGATGGTGATTGATCTCATTAGACAGAAAAAAAACACTAATCGGCCACCAGGAACAGAAGCTGATGGTGGCTGGGATAATCTGGAGCCGAGTGGAGCACCTTCAGTCCGGGCTACAGATGACGGAGAATAAACGTTGATCAAGATGATGTGTCCAATTCTATATCTGAGATAAGAAGGAGAAATGACATACGGCTTGCAAGACTTGAAAAGGCGAGGGAGTTCAGGTCATAAGAATGCGGTTGATTCGTTGCGTCCGGTAGAAAATATAGAGACGCTATGGTGATGGATAGATAGATCTCGCGACACAGGAAACCGGGATAATTCCAACACAGTCAGTGTTTGAAAAGAAGTGGATAAGAAGGAGCCGTTGAAAATATGACACAAAACCCTAAGAGCCGAGCAAACTATGCGTTTTTCCCTCCTCCTCCTCTTTTCTTTCTCTGAGACTGTCTCCCTCTTTTACATAAAGTGGACATAGTTTCTGGAGCAACAACAAACAAATGAAGCCGCTGAACCATGGTTTATGAAGTCTCGATCCTTGGTCCAAGCTTCTGAAATGGTGTTGAGGAAATTTCTAAGCTCAATTTGACTGTCTGTCCCCACGAGTTTGGTGTTCAGGAAGCCCATCTGAGGCCGATATGAAATGCTTCCATGAGTTAGCAGACCGACAGTTCGACTGTTAGGTAATTGGCATCCAGGTCGGCGCCGACCTGGACTGCCACGTAATCCTGCTAAATTGCTTGCTCAATCAGAGCATATCATAGCCATTTGAATGATCCAAGCTTGATACAGGTCTAAGTCGCCCGCCGCGGATACACAACACGAAGTTCGCATCGCTTACCTTCCGAGACAAGCCCCCTTACTTCACTTTACACGTCTGCTGCAGTGTGTCATCATCGATTGGCAGAGAGTTTCCTTAAGGGGAGAACCAGATCATGTTTCTAAACTCGATATTGTCAGGGAATGAGAAAGAGAAGGCCAAGCTCTTATCTGAAGTGATAACTGGGGCAAGGTTCCTTCAGAGAGTACCTCCTGATTAGAGCCCGAAATGATGTAGTCACACTGAGGCTCAGTTCATGCTGAAAAAGGACGAGACATGGCGTACGTGTGGCTAGTTGAGGTGGTCATGTATGCGTATATGCATTGAATCTGTCCACATCAAACAGGGCTGAGTACATAGCTGGTACCTCCTATCACTCAGTAAGGATTTGAAAAGTATAGAAGATCTTGATCACTAAGAAACTATAGGACGATAGTATCAGCATTCTTATTCCAGAGGAATCCTTGAATAGCTTACCTGAAGCACACAATAACATATGGGGCGAGTTTGTGATGGTCTTCTCAGTTCTCATGCTTCAGGAAGATTCTCTTCGTCCTCGGAAATTATACCTGACGTTTGATGGCTGATGTGCCTCAAGTTAGAATTGTTTCAAATACGACAAGGGTTCTGGAGTTTCAGATTCGACAGAAGCAAGAAGAAGTGAGCAGTATCTTGGCTCTTCCTGGGACGTAGAAGCTGTCCTCGTGATGATCCATAAGCCGGTGCTCTGACTATGCAATCCGAATTCATTGACCTATTACTGGATCAAGATTGCATCATACGACCTTCCTCGGCTCATACGTTCCAGGAGGCTATCGTCTGGCTGGCCTATCTGAATCGGCTACCTCCCTGTGTAGAGTTGGATATTATTGAGCTCAGTCATCACATTCATCAAGTGCACAGGGCGATGAAGACCCCAGAATAGGCGACTGGGTGGACCCCATCGCTATGCCAACGAGTCAACGACAATGAGTTTAATCGATAGTGGTGGTGCGCCATGTAGATAATTCGTGATTTAATTCAATCGTAACGCAAATCCGAGTGATAACTCGTACCGAATCCCGAATCCGGAGTAAATGATACTAGAGAGACGCTTTACGGGGCCAAGGGGCTGTACGCCGTCTGGAGTATATTGGCCTGATGTGCGGGATTATGGTAGGCGAATCTGAAACATATTCTGAATCCTCAAATGGCACTACTTGGCGCTAAAAGAGCCAGAGCTCTCGGACTGAAGCTCTGACCAAGTGGCCCTGATGCTTGAGGAGAACCGTTGGTGCTAGATAGTCTGAGACATGAATGATCAGTCGATGACGCAGTCTGATGGAGCCGCTACACTTGGAATGCGATAATCGATTATCGAGCCGAAGCAACGCATACGGGTCCTCGGTAGTTTCATTCAGCATTTGACTTTGGATGGTGCAGATCAAAGTCGACATGAGCAATCAACGCCATACTGTCCGTAGCTTGTATCAAACATGACTCTGCGATTCGAGTAATAATAGGGCGCAATTAAGGCTAACTCCACAGTATCCCTGCTTGATTGACGTTTGAGGTCGAACGGGAGGTCCAAGTTCTTGGAAAAAAGTGACGGTTCACTTCATAATCATGAGGTGGTTCAACATCAACTGTGTTTCAGAATGACCGAATAGCCACGTGGAAGAGATGACAGCCTGGATTCCACCTTGATAGGAACTGGAAGATGAAACTGTGCACAGGACACAGCAAGAATTGCGTCCCACTGTCAGAAGACGAATTGAGCCCGACAATCACAATCTTGAGTCAGTAGCTGCTTCGTACTCCAGTGGAGAAGAAGCGGCGCTTATCCTTCATAGTGAAGCAAAAGACCCATTGAGACCGGGGATACCTCACTCAACCATGAAAGCGTTGCCCATAATAAAAAGATGATCGGATGCCATCTCTTCGTCGATCAAGACAATCAAGTTGGTCAGAGACGGCAGTACTACTCTGTACTACTACTCCTGATGTTGCTGTCACCGTTAATGAGCAAGCGACAACACGTGACAGGCTCCGGGTCCTAGAGTTGGAACTAGCGGCTTAGCATCTGCTGTGGTGTGTTTCAGAAAATGCCAACCTCCTCTGAAGTTCGAGTTAGAGCGCACCACTATTGATAAGGTCAACTAGTTTGCCTCTAGCCTGTTTCACAATTCAATCCCACAGAACAGAAGGCGAATTTCATTCTGTCTTTCTCGGTTTCTCCTGAATAACCAGACAATTCAGTGGGAAGATCTCGCTTTCATGATCATCAGACAAGCAAAGTCTTGGTATATAGAGACACATTCAAACAGGCATTCCAGTCAGGATTTAGAACACAGCGTCGCGAGTTTCCATGTTGTTGTTTTTGTTGTGTGGTCTTGTGGATCGAAGTTCAAATCGCAGCCTAGTCCCTATCCTTGTGATTTGCTCAGGAGTACTGATTCTCCTCCCCTGTCCTTCTCGCCAATGACGCCTTCCAGGGACGCGTCCAGGACGATCTCGATGCGATCCTATGGTAGAATGGCCATTTTTCGTTTCACTTTTGTTCAGAATCGGTTCAATCGAGGCACATGGAATAATATGCCGGTTACAGAGCTTCTCTGCCGAATTACCAGCTGCCTAACTAGGTAACCTAGTACCTGATTTTTGCGCAGGAATTTCGAAAATGTTCATTGATCTTTACCATTTTATTGTGTGCCCATATCTTTTCAGCTTTAGTGCTTCATCTCCTGCGTCAATTGACTGAATGCAGCCAATTATCATAATAAATAACAATCCAATCTCTGCTCCGGTGCTCCCTCAACCAGCTCGTTTTAAGCCCTTAATAGAAGCAAACAGCCGCGGAAACCAGAGAACCGTGCACTAGCAAGCGGGGGTCAAATGGGCAGCAGATTTGGAATTCATCCTTTGTGGCTTTCTGATAGATACTCGTCAATCTGTGATTTCTGCTTCGGGGGATTTCTTTATGATCTTCAGCAATCGTTCTGTGCTTCTTCTGGAAAAAGATCTTTCTGCTTGTTGTACTCCGTACCTTCTTCGAGTTTCCTTCACCATTGGCCGGATATGGAGAGTTGTTGCTTGCCTGCGGGCACGTAAGCTGGGTATGGAGCATGGAGTCATGAAAATCCTGTCCGGATCTAGTACGACTGTGGCATAGACCCGTGTTGAGTCGTGATACCCCGATCCAAACGGAGAGGAACCTTAAGCCTTTGAGGACAACAAGAAGAGGATAGATACTTAGCACTTTATCTGCACTATTTGTTTGATAATTGACTTTGTCGTCGTTTGTTTGCTACCAGCACAGTCCTTTGTTTTGAATATTTCTAATAGAATAGCCCTTCTATCGATCTGTCTCTCGGTTTTGACATCTGCCACGCCATCGACCTTTCCCGATCTTGTCTTTTACTTTCTTTGTCAGTCCTAGCCTTCCAATTCTTTCGCCCCAGTAGCATCGATTGTGGAGCCCGTTTCTGTAAAGGTATTGGAGTTGCACCTGACCCTTCTTGCTTGAAGAGGAAACAAGAGGAAGATCCAAAGGGGAAGCCCGAAGACCCTTTTTCGATTTTTCGAAGAGGAAGCTGAAACAAGGAAACCTTCCATTCAGGACTGTAACGGGTATGGGCTCCATTCACCGGATTGGTGTGGTCTGGGATTCTTAGGTTGTTTACATAGCCAGATCCTCGAAATGTTGCATCAGAATTATGCTTACCCACCTGCCCCGATTCCAGTGCCATCATCAGCTAGAATGATCAGGAAACTTGGTGAGAAGAGTAGCAATACAGGAGCAAACCGACTCTTCCTCAGTTCCTTTGTACAATCTACATCAGACATAGGACAGCCCGGCTAGCTGATACGCTCGTGTTGGCAGGATCCAGTATCTGATTTGCGTGCTCTTTGGCGCCCGTGATGCACATACCAGCCTCCCATATCAAGCCTGGGCGGCTAAATTTAGAGCTGCAGGCGCTAAATGTCCCGCTGTACTGCAATCTGATTGGTCTCCCACTTCTGGCTGACTGGGGTTAGTCCATATCTGCTCCACAGCTGGAAGTATTTTGATAGGCTGTCCATTAGAACGCAGGCCGCCATCCTGCCGGGGCTGTTTCCAATCACTTTTTTCTCCTTCCCGTTGGCTCAAACTGCTGTTCCGGCGCTGTTTTATTCTTAGTGATCTCTCTGCGTTTTATTATGATTATGATTATGATTTTATTACTACTATTATTTATCTTTTTTTTCTCTCTACAGTTTTATGATGGTTTTTCTGTGACTACTGAGGTAAGGTAACAAGTCGTTCCTCCTCCTCTGCCCACACTTATCGCGGGTCATTGTTGGAGGAACCTCTTTCGTTTCCCTCTCGTCCTCGTCTCTTCTCCTCTACTCTTCTCTTCTCTCTTTCCCCCTCCCTCCGTCTCCCCTCCTCTTTGTCTTTCTCCCCTCCTTCTTGATAGGATCCTTTCCTACATACTCGACTCGCCCTCAATCTCTCGTCTGGGTTGTGGGCAGTCGGTTCCCTCCCTTCTCATTGAGCTCAGACCTGGGATAGTACTTTCGATACCCTATTCATTTCGTCATTCCCCGGAGGAACGACTGCCCATAGAAGACACCGGGCGGCAATTCATCTCTTCCCAGTCCTTTGCCAAAACTGAACGGATTATAGCCATCTTTACTACTATATCTTTATTCTTCTTTGACAGGCTCCGTTGTTGGTCTCTACCTATTTGTCCGGCTTTCTTCCTGTTTCAACAATACAATCCTTTATCCGCTTCGGGATTGGCATATTTCAAAGAGGAAACGGTCCTCTTGTGGCATTCCTTGGTATGTTCGACATTGTCTCAAGAGTACATCCGCCCCGCCGGATGGCTCTATCCTCTCTCTGTCTACCTCTCTTTCTCAGTCTCTCTCTGTCAAAGCATTTGTTCCTTTTCTCGCCTATTTGATCTTTGCTTACTCGTCCTTGATGAAGTTAATGGCCTTTTGATCCCTCCTTCTCATTCTTCAATAGCTTTGTTATTGTCGTTCGTTCTATACTTCAGTCTGATCGTCAGCCTGGTCTCACTCCTTGCAGCCGTGTTTGCTTCATTCTTCCACTTTGGGATACTTATGTTTTGAGAAAGCGAACGGAAGTTGGGAACATGGACGCTGATCGCTCTTCGTCGAAAAGGTCGTTTGCGCAGGTAGCAAGTGCGACACTTCTTTCTCTTCAACTGTCTGGATGCAATCAGTGTACATCAGCTTTTGCACCAGCACCTCGCGAGAGCTGCGATCCTGAGAGGGTGTCCCCTTTCAAACGCAGATCTACTTCAAGGCCTTGGTCCATCATGCCTGTGCAAACTAGCCCACCGTCACTCCCGGACTCGTTCCCGTCCTTGATGTCGGTATTCGGTGGAATCTCGCCCAAATTCGCCGAGAGGGAGGAGCATAGCACAGCACTCAAACCTCTCAGAGTTCCTCCACATGTTACCGTCAATACATCTCGGCGCCCACTTCCATTTCGGCATCGGGCGAGTATCTCGTCGTCCGTGACTTCGGGATCCGCAGATTCGTCTCCTACCACTACTATCTCTACGTTCGACTCGCCATTAGCCACAGATACCACCCCCAGCTCTTCGCCCGAGTCTCCGTCGGCAATGCCGTTGTCGTTTCCCAAATTCATGCCACCCTTGCGCAATATCGAAAATCAATCGCTCTCCGCAGAGCAAAGCACCATGTCCAGACCCTCGCCGGATGCACCAAACCGAGCGCGTCCGGATTCTCCAGGTCGGCGGGCGCGGAATCTCAAGAATCTTTCATTGAGAATGCCTCCGCCGTCGCAATCGTCGCGCCCAGCGATTGCAACAGCCTCGGTAGTTGAGACAGGCTCACAACGCAATCTTTCCGCTCCACCCTCGCCAGCGCATATCCCTCCCAAAAGCAGCCGACGAAAGCCTGCAAATCTCACTATCCAAACTCCTGGGTTTGACAGATCCTTCTCCAGCAATGTTATGGAAATGGTCCCACCAACACCTGGTGGCCTCCATTCATTGAGACATACCGAGTCTTCACCTTCTCTGACTTCAGTATTCTCGCCGTCTTTTGGTCCAAAGGGAGGCATGCAATTGCCGCGACCAGTGACGCACCATGGGAGCCGACGTCCGTCAGGTGCTTCGGAACACAATCTGTCCCCACTACAGTCGGCCGTCGAAGAGGGCTCACCTGCGGGTGGAGTCCTGCATGAACTTGAGGAAGAAGAAGACCACCTAGACTCGAGAGAGTCAACTCGGCGAAACGAGCGCGGCTATCCCAATGGTCCCGTACAAATATACGATTCCGGAGTTTATCTTTATTTGGAGCCGACGATGCAAGAGGCTGCTCAATTCGATGTTGTTGTGAATGTTGCGAAAGAAGTCGCAAACCCATTCGCTAATATACGCGCCAATAATGGAACAGTGATGAGCGCTTGGCGAAGTGCCTCAGGAAGCGCCAAACGATCATCGAGTGCGGAGCCACCGACTGCGATCTCGGAAGTTTCTTTCAAGTCCGCCTTGGAGTATCCTCCATCTGAGACTGAGTCGCCGGTCACACCCCGCAGTGACTCTTCCGGGCCGGAATATATTCACGTAGGCTGGGACCACAATTCTGAGATTTTGGACGACTTGTACCCGCTCTGCGAATTGATCGATTCCCGGATTTCTGAAGGAAAGAAGGTCCTCGTTCACTGTCAACTGGGCGCTAGCCGATCGGCCTCTCTAGTGATTGCCTACGGCCTTTACAAAAACAGGCACCTGGACTTTAATTCCATGTACGACATCGTGAAGGGACGGAGTCGCTGGGTTGGGCCCAACATGAGTCTCATCTATCAACTGACCGATTTTCGGTCTAGGCTGCAGCAGGGTGGTCCATCCAAGCCTGCGCCCGAGGAATGGTTTGTGCATGGACCTCGAAGAGGTTCTGAACCCCAACCTTCGGGGTCTGGAAGGACAACAGAAGCGAGTTTTACGCCTCCAGGCTGTGGCAGCTCCAGCTCAGGCTACTCTAGGCTCGCAGCCCCAGCTGGTCAGTCACAGACGTCCTCGAGTACTCTCTCTGTGCCCTCGACAGAGCAATTTACGCCCCCGTCAACTAGCGGCTGGAGGACTCCCAAATCTTTGTCTCACAAGCGAAGCTTGTCTCCTCGTCCTTTGCCCCTTCGCCAGCGATTTGACACGGTACAGACGGCTGCAAAGGATGCTAGGACGCGCTCTCTGGCACCGGCAGATGTCTTTGAAAGAGACGCTGTCGAGGATCCGCTGGGTTTGTTTTCTCCGCGGACGAGCCAATTCCTGGCACCGTCTCTTGCTCCTCCATTCCCAGACGGGTTGGAAGATCGCCTTCCTGGCGGCCTTCATTTCGGGACACAGACGGCAGACCCTCGATCTCCCCCTCCTGGGACCGAGCGACTCATAATGAGGAATATTGATGAATTTCTGTAAAACTGCCTTAAGGGTTTTTAAGACAGACAGCCTGTCTCTGCCGTGATGCTTCGGGGTTACGTCGGAGAAATGATTCTATGACATGATTCTTTTCATCTTCATTCTTTGAGCATTACTTTCGCTCCACCTCTTCCATCTACCAGGCCACATTCTTTCTCTCCTTTCCCTTCATTTCATTTTCATTTCTTTGCCATTTCCTTCCACTTTCGTTTGATCTTCGTTTATTTACCCTTATGTTCTCTATATTTTTGATGACTCGATGACCAAAGCAGGCTTTGATGTCGTGATTTGCATTCTTATTCCCAACCTTTATCAGCATTTTTTCCTCGACCAGTGAGTGACTGGTCGAGTGGAGGCCTTCTTGTTGCTTCATTCAGCATCGACTCGATCTCGCATGCTTTTTGGTCGAACGGCGTCCTGGGTGTTTCAAAAGAACAAAGTGCGGCATTGTTTGCCTATAACTGTAATATTAGTGGTGGTCTGTGTAGCCATTGCTTCAATATTCGAGAAGCGTTTGGCGTGGTGCTCATCTGATCACATTCGTTGTTTGCACCCTGTTGGTGTGATTGCATTTCAGAGAACGGCGAACGCGGAATACCCATTGAACAGTATCCTTGCAACAAATTAACTGAATGATTATTGTTGAAATACTCACTGAAGTAGATTCCTGACTCTTGTGGCCCGTGATACTGTAGTCTTATCCACAGCGGGCCGAAGCACCCCGAGCCACTTCACGTCATCCACTGATTTTAAGTCCGTATCAACTTTTCATCGCTACTGCTATAGTAGTCCAATAGCATTGCACAGCGAACTCCCGCGCGAAATCATGGCAGACGAGAATCATCCGGCACACCTCTCTCCCAGCGAACTGGGCACGAAGAATTAGTAGGTGGCATCATCAATCAACCTTTCAGCAAAAATTTCCCAGCCCTACCCCGCGTACCCCTCCATCCGCACGTCAAAAAGAACAAAAAAAAAAAAAAAAAAAAACGACTCCGCCAATCCCTCTTGATCCATTCCCCTTGCTAATACTCAATGTAGCTGGGAAACGTACTACGCCCGAACCCTCACCCACCTCTCAAGTCAACACCAGCCAAACGCCCGACCAACCCCTACCGCCGACTCGTCCGACCCCGAATCCGAATCCGAATCCGGATCCGTCGACGACGACTCCGACCCAGGCACATCCTGGTTCTCGGAGCACAACGCCCCCGAGAAAGTCCTCGGCTTCCTAACAAACAAAAACTTCCCGCTCGCGCCGTGCAACACCCTCCCCGCAGCCGCAGCCGCAAGCGCGAAAACGAAAACGAAAACGAAAAAGGCGCTCAGCGATGAGGAGAGGCGCAGGCAGCCGAGCATCCTGGACCTGGGCACGGGGAACGGGAGCATGCTGGCGCTGTTGAGGAAGAGAGGCGGGTTCCGGGGTGTGATGGTCGGGGTGGATTATTCGGCGCGGAGTGTGGAGTTGGCGAGGGAGTTGCAGCGGTTGAAGATTCATTCGGCGTATTTGAGTGGGAGTGATTCTGATGGGGAGGAGGAGGAGGAAGAAGAGGAAGAAGAGGATGTGGTTGTTTCGAATGGGGCTGAGACTGCGCAGGCGGTTCCTGTACCTGGGGAGGATAAGGAGATGGAGATTCGGTTTGAGGAGTGGGATATTTTGAATTCGGAGGGGGAGTTGGGCGAGGAGGGTCGGTTGGACTGGTTCCCGTATGCGCGGGGCGGGTTTGATATCGTGCTTGATAAGGGGACGTTTGATGCTGTTTCGTTGTCGGAGGAGGTGGTGGTTGAGGAGCAGAGGGAGGGGAATGAGGCTGCGGCTTCGGCTGAAGCTTCGGCTGGGGGGAAGGTGATCCAGCGCCGTGTGTGTGAGCGGTATCCGGGTATTGCGCGCAGGTTAGTGCGCAAGGGCGGGTTCCTGGTCGTGACGAGTTGCAATTGGACCGAGGAGGAGTTGGTTCGCTGGTTTACGGGCGAGGAGGCGAAGGGTTCTGGCTCTGATCGGTTGGAGGTCTGGGGCCGTGTGGCATATCCCAAGTTTAGATTTGGAGGGCAGGAGGGCCAGGGTGTTTGCACGGTGTGTTTTCAGAGGGTAAACTAGATAGAACTTTTGGATGTCTATCTCTATATTCATTATGCAAATCATCATTCATAACACATCCCTAAAAGGAGCTCTCGGTAGTGCCATATGCATGAGTTATGACTCCTGGGCCCTTTTCAGGGAGGCAACAACACACCACCTCTTCCTGTTCTCCGGTCCCTCGCCCTCTCTCACAGGCACCCAATCTCTGCGGACCTCTTTGCCTTCTGCTGTTGCCGAGTTTAGATCCCGCTCATGGATCCTTTCAATCTCTAAACCATTCTGCACTGCGGTCTCGAAGAAACCGGCAACAATTGCACGACCTGTGTGGAACCCAGCAACGACCCAGATCCGACCTCCAGGGGCCAAGAACCATAGCATGGTCCGCACGAGATTCTCATGCTGAGATCGCATCCAGTAGCAGTCCGCGGCGATGATACGAGTGAAGGCACCCTTGTTCCGAAGGGCAAAAGAGTCGTCGAGAACGCCCCATGCGTGCGGTTGAATGGAAACATTGGTCGTACTGGTCTTGGGGATGTTGTGACTCATATTGAATTGGATGGCGCCTGAGAATGCTGGGGATGACGGATGGTCGGTCACGGTGACTTTTGATGCTTGAGCGAGCGCACAAACCAGCGAGGGGAGTGCGGCGCCTGCAATCCAACGATCGAGCATTGTGAGAAACAAGTCGCATTTGCTACAAATAATACGGGCTGTGTCTCTACCTACCGGCACCTAACTCCAGAACACTTTCTCCTTTGGCCTTCCACATTGCTGTATCGGTGTCTGCATCCTCAGATCGGACATCCGCGTTCTCCACCCCCTCCGCGACAACCATGGCTGCACTCCAGAGGATGTGGGCAAACAGCTTTCTCCCTTCCTCAACCTGATTCACCTTGCCTTCTTGCGATAGGCCGGCCGCATTCTCTTCGCTCCGTTTCTCACTGAGGCTCGGGTACGAAGGAACCATGATTTCTAGGTCTCCATAGCGCGGGGACGAGTAGAGCAGGTGTTGCCCGGGGTCGCCGTGAAACGAGGGCGCATCTTCAGGCAATAAGTGAGGGAGGAAGGCACTAAAGATGTCATCGGGTGATTCTTCGCAGTCTACGTCGTCTTCATCTTGAAATTTGGGGCCTGGTGCAGAAGCTGAAGGAGATGATGTAGGATGGAGGGGTGCGTGACGGCGCTGGAGGGGTCGAAGCCGAGAATGGAGCATTTCGGCGGGATGGCGGAGGTAGCAGTAGCCAAAAAAAGGCCAGGAATTCTTATAGAGCTGCGAGAAGTCAATAAAGCTGTTATAAGTAAGTAGTTCTGTGTTTTGTTAGTAAGGAGCAAATGTTGATAAATTTAAAGCATTTCTCTGCTCTTGAGGGAAAAAGTGGGAACTGAATGTTTTGCATTGTTTGGTTCGATGGGGACAGAGTCGGCATGATATCAATAGGTACGGAGTACTTCTCACTCCTTCGCAACTGGGATGGACGAGAGTTGTCTTTCAAGAGAGGAATGAAGCCCCGGATAGACGACAAGTCCGTTTAGCACATATAAGAAGCAATGCCATGTTGGATGAGGAGAGGAATCCTGCTGGATGTTTTGCGATCATCAATCAATTGGTCAGTGATACTGTCTCGTAATGGTTGATCTCTAGTTGCCATTAGCATCTTCATATCTAGAATTGAGAAGTTCCTGGTGATCATTGATAGAGGCTTGATGATGGAGCCGACGTATTAAGGTATGTTGAGGCGAGCAACCTACGGAGTAGATAACTTGTGATATGTATGGTTAGTAAGACAGGGTCAGGTGCTTCAATGTGTATGATACAGGTATGGACAGTGACACGGGGAGATACGTGTTTCCCTATCTTGGATGGAGCGAATACAGGGATCAGGTGTCCAATGTACGTACTGTAAGGCACGGATGACATCATTTGTCTCTTGCAAAAGCCCTAGACCGGTCGATGGGAGAGGGATTACCACTAGGTTACAGGTGTGCTCGAGTATTCAGGATACATACGGCCATATGTGGACTTGGACAGTGGAGACAGCATCCCATACAATCGATAGGATGAGGCAATTGCGATAAGTACGGGCAATGGCGGTGCTGGTGGGGCAGTAAGGTCCATAGGTATGTTGTGTCTGAGTAAATTACCTGATTTATTACGCCTAATGATGTGATCTCCTACAAAGTGGTCCTAAAAGTGCCCGTGCGGATGACAGGGCAGCTGATCTCTTGAGTATTCAGTTCAGATCATATATGCGGTACTATGATTGAGCTTTTATTTTGTCTGCTAGAATCCCCTCAGAGCTCATTCCATCTAAATGTTTGACTAGATCTAGTCTAATGCTTGAAAGTTGTTCTGGTGGGATATCATAAGCAGGATCCCTCACAGGATGAATGATATCGGATTCCAGATGCGAAGTGGATCCTATTATGATCACATCACCAGCCAACTACTTACAAGTTATCTACAACCATTCTTTCTTTGTCCTTGTAACTAGTACTTGTATCTATTTCTTGCTGACTCTCGCCCTGTTTTGCCGCTGGCCATTTTCGGCCCCCTTTAGTCAGGAACATGTGCGATATCAAATCAAGTTGATCGAAACTTTTTTTCTTCAGCCAGGGGAGTTCATCACTTTTTTTTTTTTTTTATCCTTCTGTCTAGGTTCAAATAATTTTCCTGCAATCTTCAAGCATCAATAATCTTTCTCTACTTACATACCTACTCTCAGGTCAATTGCATTCTCTCCATTCAGCCAATGTCCACTGCCCAGTGTCCAGAACCCCCGCATCGCCTCAACTAGCGAATTTCCGCTGGAGCCAAAAATTCCCCCCGCAAAAAAAGGACTCACTCTTTAGAGCACGTAGAGCACGGAGTACAGAGCAACTATTTGAGTATTTGTATTATTATTATTATTATCTAGCATTCTCTATTATTATTAGATAGATAGATAGGTGTTTACAGTACGGTTCGTGTTTGGTCTTGACTTTATATCGCTCATGAACTATTATTATTGATTACCTAGTGGATTTCCTAGTTGCAGCAGCAGGTGGATTACTTACTTCCTGACTTACATATCCAAAGGTACCTGGACCTCCTCTTCCTGTCTACGGACCACCAAGTACCAACTACTCTTTCAGCTTCTCCTCTTTCTATCTTCCTTTCCTTCTCTCTCCTCTCCTCTCCTCTCCTCTTCTCTTCCTCCTACATACTCTCTCATCCTCTCGGCTTCAATCTCTGGCATTCTCTCTACTGTACTTTCCAATTGCACATCTCATCATTTGACCTCCAGTCCATATTACTCACTCAGTCAACTATTTCAGGTGACTTTCTCCTCTTATACCCGGCCCAACCACACCACCCTCTCACCACCTTTTTTTTGGGGCGATCACCACCAAACCTTAAACAAAAAAAAAAGAGTTGCCTTACCTACTGCGTTGCGTTCACGGGGCTCTCAGCGATTGCAAGTTCGAGAGTCCACGTATACAGCATGGCTTCGTTCAAGGTATTTCATCTATTTCCCACTTACTCGTCTCGCCTCTCCTCTATATATCAGTCATGAATCATGGCAGACCACGTTAAGATGACCGCGCTAACTGATGTGCCTCCTCCTTATTCGAAGGAATTATCCCTGTCCCGACCACTACCTCAATCTACTCCCCGTCACCATGCCCACTCCATATCCCTTGGAGCGGTCAATCATAATCACCGTGTCACTCGTCGGAAGAGTGTCACCACCGCTGCTGCTGCTAATGCCGCCGCCGCTGTGGTCGCCGCGTCCATGAAGGACACCAATGGGGAACCGATAGGTGTGCCGATGCCTTCTCACCGTCGAGGCAGCACCAGGAGGGGCCTGGAATCCACTTCGGTCGGAGCTCTCTCCGGCTTCGGCCACTATCTCTCCCGGAGCATGAACAGCCCCAGCCAAGAACCCCCGGTCGCTCGCAAACCCTCGCCCAATCATCCCAACAACGGCGCCTCTTCCGTCGCCGCAGCTGGCGGCGAGGAGAGTAGTTCGGACAACAAACCCGTCAACACCAAGAGTCGAAACCGTCGGGCCAGCGAAGGATCGCACTTGGTCAAAGGCGAAGGGAAGCGCGCCTTGGCGGAACTACGGTGCGATCGCTGCGGGAAAGGGTATAAGCATGGCAGCTGCTTGTCCAAGCATATGTGTGTATACTCCCCCCCAAATGCCATCCTGCCGTCTGGCTCGAATCGGAGCAATGCGCCATGTCGGCTCTGTTGCAAGGTCGCCCTCGTGGTCATTTCAGCTCCTCGCGTCTCCCAGTCCCTGCTCATTTTCCCCCTTCTGAGCTTTATCACCCCTCCTGGCGATCCCAGTCGGTTGACGTTTGTGGTTGAAAATCTTTAGGTGGGAACATGACCCGGCATGGGCCATTACTTCGAAGCTACTGATCTCCAAGCATCAGCAAGTTCAGCTGCTGGAGGCCGCGACCGTCCTGGTCAACATGAACCAGGACGGCCCTTCAGAAGGTGCCGAAGCCGAATCGGAGCTGTCATCTGCGTCACCCGACACCTCGTCGGAGCTTCGCGACGGCATCAGCTCGGCGGAAACCACCCCTCCTCCTATGGATGAGGACGACGAGGACGAAGATGACATGGAGATGTCTGGCATGCCCGTGTTCCCGAGCAAACGGTTCAGTGTCGGCAACGCGTCGGCTCATTTTTCCCACTCCTACCAGTCTATTCCCTCGAGCTCCTTCAACGGCAGTGCTCCCTTGCATTCGCCTGCCTTTTCTCACTTCCGGCACTCAAGCATCGACACCCGGCCCTCCACCGCCGAAGCCAAGTTGCACGAAGATGACGAAGCGGATTTGGCCGCTGCCATTGGCCTCTGCAATTTCGGAACGCCGCGCACTGGACCTGTGCCGATGTCCCCTAGCATTCCCCCGGTGCCGCCGCTCCCATCTCGGTACCTCGATCAAAGCAACGGTGCTGGCAGTACCAGTCAAAGCCTGGACCCTCCCGCTGCTGCCAATATCAATCCGTCTCTCACCGAGTCCACCCCGAACATCTTCCTCTCCGTATCATATAACCCATCGCTCTCCTACAAGGTCTCCGACGAGCGGGAAGTGAGAATGGGTGATGCGGATCGCGTGCAAAGACAGAACCGCAATGCCGATGTTGACTTCAGCAACCGTCCCGCTCATGCGGATGACGATGATGACGGCGTCTTTGGTCGCATGGAGGAGTAGAGGTTTGCCGATAAATTCTTTCATCATGTCCCACCACGTTTCCTCTCACCCTCCCTATTATCTCATCTGTCTTATCCTTAAGGGTAAAGGGTACGATGACACAGCTGTGCTTCAGTTTGTGGTATTTACGATGATGTATGAGCATTGTGCGAGTTTTGCTCCGGCGATTTGCCGCTGGTTTCTGCGTGTTTTTTTGAACTTAGCATCCCCATTCGCGTGTAGGACAACTGTCAGGAACTGTATACCCGGGGCTTGCACCCCGATACTCCCTGGGCTTCTGAGATGCATGATGGATATCATTGGTCTGTTTAGCTGCGTCGCATTGGCTCTTCCTATTGGCCTAGCCTCATTTTTTCCTATATCCCGTCCCTCCCTCATTATACCTTTTTCATTGTTCTTGTCTTGGTACAAACCATCTCATGTATCATTGGCCTCTATCACGGTGCCCATCCCCGGCATATGTTTTCCTTCCCCATATACAACAGGACATACCTCATTTGCAGATGTCTACGACTGTCCGCTTTTCCTTGCTCTATGTATACAAATCCCTGGTCGAGTGAGATGTCAATACGACGATATCATATCAAGCAATCATGTATCAACTGTAAAAGTGATTCAATGGGGTTGTGATGAGGTAGCATCGATGTGTAATGGCAGCAGAGGGATGAGAAGTCATGCCAGCACATCCACGAATTAGAATAAATACATGAGTCAACCCAGATCGAAATCTGGTGAGTCTTGAAACCAGATAACACCAACCATGCAAGTACAAAACAAGAATAAAACAGGCCCAGTATCCATGCAATGCAATCATCCATTGTAAGTCGTAATATCATAAGCCGTCAACCTTGTTTCGAAGAAAGCCTTGATCAATCCCCCACAATACCAATCCAAATATGCAAATGTATCATGTTGTCATGAATGTACGTTCCATCATAAAGTCAATGCGCCATGAGTCGAAAATAGCAACTCACGAGCCGCTTATCGCTGAGAACCGAAAGGAAGAATATCTGTGTCTGGTTAGTTCGAGCTGAGAGATATCGTGTCGAGGGGGTGAGACGTACCCATGTGGCTTGTTCTCAGGATGTGTGAGTAGAGAAGGAAGTCTCGTCGGCACCGACAGAGGAGAACGCTGTTGTTTCAATGCAAGACGCACTCTCATGTGTGGGTGGAGAAGGGAAGTCTCGCTGATTGCAAGGGAAGAAGAAGACGAGATGAGCTCTAGTTGGCTCCAGTTAGAGTGCGAGAGTCGGGCGGGTGGAGATGTATGCCGCCGTTTGTATGTTGTAGCAGCCGGCCTTGCGTGACGACGGTTGCGTGAGAATCTGAGAGTCACTGATACAGGTTGAGCTTCAGTGTGTGTTGTAGAGAAGGAAGGCATGTGGCTCAGAGGAGGGCACTTTGTGCTCCGGTTACGAGCTTCGCGATGTGCGAGTAGAGAAGGAAGCCTTTTTGGATCCGTAAGGTAGAAGATTGTTGACGAGCTCGATTTGTTGTTCGAATTGATGTTCCAGATCGAGGTGGGTTGCCAATGCAGAGGCCCGTTGCATTGAGTGTGTGATTGCAGTGGTCAATCTCGCGTTGAATCAATGTAGTCTGTGGTTTGAAGGTCTGAAGGTCTGAAGGTCTGAAGGCGGTGATTTCGCACTGTGAAGGAAGAGTTGGATGAGCTCGGTATGCGAATTGGCGGATTGTCAAGATCAACTAGAGCTGAGTTCTGCCATCGTCGGGCTGAAGTAGGCTAGTAGCCCTTGAGAATGCCGGGTCTTCTCAATTTGTGTAAGACGACCCGCGGGCTGATGCTTGTCCTTCGTATCGAGGTAACGATTGACTCGAGAGTCGTGTGTCAATCGAGGTATGGTCACACTGATCGCTCGCTTGAGATAGAAGAGTTGTATAGAAGTTGGACGAGGGCAAGGAGAACGACGCAACTTCAAGGCTTGAAGTGTAGGCTGAAGTAGCCCTTGAGACTGCCAGGCCCCGAAGTATTCGGGTCAAAGCGCTGTCACACTGATCGCTGGCTTGAGGTTGAGAAGTCGCTTCATGTGTCCATGAGTGGATGATGTGGCAGAACGAAGCTCGAGCAGGAGTACTCATGCAGAGAGAAGAGACGGGGCGAGACAAAAGATGAGAGAGATATGTATCTGTCCGAGTGCTCGCATGGACTCCTGGCCCGAAGTGTTTGGTCAAGGTGTAAAACGTGGTGTCGTTGGTGGTCAAGGTAAAAACGTGGCATTGTCGGGCTCAGTCTCGGACCTTCAACAAGACGAGCAATTCCTTCTCAGAGAGAGAAGAATGAATAAGAACTCACCCCCTTACGGAGAAGGAGAAGAGACCACGATGAATAAGAACTCACCCCCGGAGGGCGGAAAGTCCTATATACCAGGGTGAGTGAAATGCAAATCACGAGGCAAGATCTGAAAAACTCACTGAACAACCACGTTTTACATGCCGTACCGTCACTCACTCCCGAACTCCACCGCCAGACGCACGAACTGACACCATGTCTCTCCTTAAAACCATCCCAACTCGCAAGAAGTCGTGGCGACCCAAGAGTGGCCGGGCCAGCATTCCCCAGAAAGCAACCAGGCTGTGAGACCGAAGGAACAAGGCCGGGAGGTCCAGTCCGAGGACTGGCCCAATGAACCGACCTTGCCTTCTCCGGCTCTTTGCGAGGAAGTTCCCGGAAGAATGACTGGCCCAAGAAGAAAGGGGGGGATACGGAGGCACACATCTTGGTCCCAGTCGACAACTGCGAAGTCAGACCGGCGCAGTACTAGACGAGCTAGTACTGGCCGTAATAGTAGTAAGGAGGCGCTTGGCCGTACATGGGTTGCTGCCAGCCGTACGGCGACGGATACACACCCATAACAGGTGTGGGAGCCGGGCGAGGACCGCCAAATTGCCCTTGCCTCGCGTCTTGAGACGGGACCCTGTTGCCTACAATAAGAGGCCCCCGACTTTGAGTCGGCGCTGGAGGGTCACAGGCGGTTGGACGAGCTGACGGGGAGGGCGGTTCATCCGCCGCCCCGTTCAGACCTTCTTCCCGTTCCCTGTGTCTCCTTGCGTAGCGCTTCCTCTTGGCCTGGCTGGGTCGCTTGCGTCTTCGACTGCCAGAGGTAGGCGCGCCTTCTGCGTCGGCCTCTGGCTCTTCGGCCACCTGCGAACCTGGACAGTCAGGGACCGCAGAAGCGGTATGGCTCTCCCAACCGGCGAGCAAAGCACACACGAGTTGGAGCACCAGAATCGGTGACAGATTCTCCGGGCGGCGGACCACGAGGGCCCACTTCCGGGACGGGTGGAGAGCAGACGAACCGACTACATCGGACGTGCCTTGGGCGGTGTCCGTGAGTCCATCGACGACGCCGTTGGGATTGACCTTCGGCCCTTTGACGGTGCAGAAATCCAGTTCCGGGGACACTGCGACGATCCGCTGGCGCTCCAAACGAGAGATCGCTTTCTCCACCTCAGGGCGGATACTCACGAATCTCCACGTCTGTTGCTCCTCCAACGGGGCCGCAACGCCGGATCTGGTGAGAGGGTCAACGTCGGAGCAGGACACGACCATTCCCGAGGGCATCTTGCCTTCGACCAGAGCGTCCACCTCTTCGTACAGAGATGGAGCACTGTCGGCCGCAAGGTAGTGGGCTACCTTGGGTGTACCCTCGAGAAATTGGCCGAGCCAACCGAGTTTTTCTCCCAGTGCGGAAACACCAAAAGAGACAAGTCCCTTACAAAGGAGCACAATGAAAGCCAATAAGCCCCATGCAACAGCTAGACCGACACGGGAAGACGACGCGGGCGAGTTTGATGCCTCCGTGTCGCAGTCCACGGGACCGGAGTCCACGCAGATCTGCAACACGTCGGCCTCCTCCCACAGCGGGATAACCACGCTGACTGTCGACTTCCGCGTGCCGGTGGCGTTCGGGAAACCTACATGGGCCGCAGGACTTGGGAAACCAGTCGAGCGGACGTACACGAACTCCTTGTGCCCAGGAGCCGTGTACGTGGAGGTTATGGCCTCCGCCAGGTCGTAGATCCCCTTGGCCAAAGCCGTTGCACCCACGGCGTCGGATATGGTCCTCACGAACCTCCCGTGAGGATCATTGTTTCCTGGCACTTGGAAGAATGATCCCCAGAGAGCGAGGAAGATAAATCCTCCGACAAAAGGGAAAAGCATTTTCTGTTGTTCAACAGTACGTTAGCCACCAACACTCAAGTAAGATTCAAAGAGAGAACAGGAAAAGAGAGCACAGCAAAGCTGCTTGGTACTTTTTTATTTAAAAAAAAAAAAAATTAAAACGACGCAGAAAAGCAGTTTGATTTGCTGGAAGAGTTGTCTCGTTGGTTAACGATCAGTGTGATGTGATAAGCTTGGTGATGATGAGGAGAGGAGAGGAGAGAGAAGAAGAAGAAGAAGAAGAGAAGAGGGAGAGGAAGAGATATCTGCGAGCAACACTTACTGTGCGTCGAGGGCGACTCTCATTCACTGTCGAAGGTGAATGTCTCGACAGTGAATGCTGTCAGGGGGCTGGCAGGTGAGCTGGTGCAAGTGAGAGAAAACACCCCCACATATGAGGGACAGAAACACAAGCAAGCAAGAAATTAGTGTCAAAGCCTTGAATTCGAATTGGAATGAAATCATATATGAACACCAGGAGGGCTGGAAAGGTCACACATAGGACAAATGCTCGTCATAAGGTCCTCAGAATATGCTTTTGTGATAGAAAACGGTTGAGACACAGAAAGAAACCTAACTCCACCATGTAAACCCAAGATATCATATCTGATGAAAAGGAAAGCAAGAAAGAATTCAACCAAGGGACACCCTCTAGTCGAGGTCCATTTCCTCCTCGACGCCTCCATCCACCAATAGTCTTGTCTTCTTCTTCTGTCTGAGCTGCTCCTCGCCGACCACTCTGCTTGAAATCTTGCTGACATCCAAAGACTGGCCCTCTTCTCTTTCCCGCAGTTCCTTGCGGATGAGGTGCTCGCCCTCCGCAACGACCCTGCGGTCTTCCTCGCGCTTGCGCTCGCGGGCCAGCTTGCCGCCCAGCCTGCGTTTTGTGAACGCACGCTCTCTGCGGGCTCTGATCTCCTCCACTCTCTCCATGGCCTTGATGGTAGCAGCAACCAGGTTTCTGTCGTACTTGACGGGTGTGTTCCTCTTCTTGGCGAACTGAGACAGCACCAGGGACGAGTCGACAATCATTTCCTTTCCGCGTGCGGCACGGTGAGTCTTGGTCCACTTCAGCTTTCGGGGTTGACGCTTCATCTTGAAGTTCGCATGGCACTTGCTCCGACCTGGAATCGAGTTAGATTTCTTGTCGTGCGTGGGGTGGACGGAGAACTGGGCACTGACAGAATCGGAAAGATTTCGCATCGTTGCGGACGAAGGTGATACCCTTGCTTGGGTATACGGGCCTGTTTGAGGAGTCAGTGCTGAATCCTGATTTCTGGAATCAGGCAGACATTACCTAGAGCAGAAATGACAAGTCTCTACCCTCATTGTGATGTTCTAGGGACTGGTTTATTTAAAAAAGTTGTTATCGTGAAAAGGCGGCTCGAAAATCCGTAGAAACTTTTACAAAGCTTCGAAGCGTGGAGGAGGTGGCGCTAAACCTAAACAGGCATCGCGGCGGCGGTCCGATTTTTATCTCGACAGCGCTCCGATTTTCTCCAACGTCAGAACTTCGATTCCATCTAGACTCCATAACCCATCGATATATTGCTTGTGCTGCTCCCCGCCCTGCTACGTCTTGCAGCTTACTTGAGCATGGCTTCGACTTTTGCTATCGGCCTTGGTGTCGCTACAGCGGCCTTTCTGGTAAGGAAGGAGTTCCGGATGTTACTTTGCGATATATAGTCGGCTCACTGTTCTCTTTTTGTTCTACAGGGTCGCGCCGGTTTCATCGCTCTTCGTCGCTACCAGGGTGGTGTGAACGCTATGGGAAAGGCATTTTACAAGGGGTCGGTCTCATTCATCCTGATCATATAGTTCGAATGAGTCGAGGTTGGCTGACAAGTGCTTAGAGGATTTGAGCCACGCATGACCCGCCGTGAAGCAGCCCTGATCCTGGAACTTCCGTATGTCTACCAAAGCGACACTGTACACCGTCCAGTTTGACTAACAGAGCTCAGCGAGCGAACCCTGAATAAGGACAAGGTCCGCAAGAAGCACCGCCAACTCATGCTGCTGAACCACCCTGATCGTGGCGGAAGCCCTTATCTCGCAACCAAGATCAACGAAGCCAAGGAGTTTTTGGACAAGCACGTTTGATGAATTTATCTACCTCGATAAATCGCCCTCGACAAAATCCGGGACAGATTTCGGTGGGCTAGGATTCTAATCTCGTTTTGAGTATCCGTTCGTCCGTTGTACAAAAGATGACATTGTGGGTGCATAGCGTGGCGTTTGGTTGGATTTTGAGGATGGGATATAAGCATTTTTATAACCCTCCGTGTACTTTCACCGCATATATCCTGACAAGATCGCCGCTCCTGATTGTTTAGTTTTGTGCTTCATCACTGTACTTGACTATTACATATTTGAATCACACTGCATTTAAACCTTACCCGCCTTACACAGTCACTGAACACTTGGTAATAATGCGGAAAGCGATGCTGTTACTTACGAAGAGTCATGAGTTTCGATCCCTGTTGATGTCGATCATTGACAAGGAATGGTTTTGGACTGCTTCAGACCGGACAAATGACACCCTCTGCCAAGGAGATTGAAGGAGAACGAATACGGCGATACGAATTACGAATACGGCCATCTCGGAGGAACCGATGATGGACACTACTACTGAACAAAGAGGAAATTAGGGAGTTGAACCAGGGGCACTCCGTACTCTGGTAGTCTGGTAGATAGATAACCCCTAGGTAGTGATGGCTTCCATCGTAGACTCTTTCAAACACAACCAAGTCTTGTGCGGAGTGCGTCGACCATGGGATCCGTTCTTGATGCTTGATGGATCCTGGATCCTGGATCACGGATGATTCATGGGCTCATGGCTCATCGAGCCACCAGAAACTCGGGAGTGGAAGCAAATGACCACCGCCACTAACCCACCAAGTTCCAGCTGTGGTTTCGCTCGGCTTTCGGGGTTAACGACTTCCGTTGCGATTGTCCCCGCTTAGTCGATTGTGGTTAGTCGCGGAGGGAAGAATGAGAGAACAATGTCTAGTTGAAACTCTGGACTGCTGAAGAGGGAAACATCTGTTCAGCGTCTCAGACTAGATAGAGTTAGAACTGGAGATATCGGTTGGTAGCAGAAACAAAAGGAACAGTCCTCATCCCGTATGGCCAAAAAGCTACAGCCCAAGATTTTGGTGTCAGCCTGTAAGGATTTAGCTGCTCTTTAGTCTCTCAACTTAGTGGTCTTGGTCAACCAAAAGGCAGCACCGTTTGCTACGTAACTGCAATCTACAAACCGAACTATGATTCCTTTCTCTTCCTTCGACGAATTTTATCTTCTTCTCCTTCGTGATATTGCTTGTTGCCTCCACGATACTTAGTCAATAGCATTTCCAATCCACAGCTGACAAGAGGAAAGGATTCTCTCATCCCCCACCTTTGCAGGTGTAGTATTTGGGCTCGCCACGTGCTTGCCTCGGGGCGAAGATTAAGACAGTTGACCATCTTCGCTTCATCCTTTTATTCTTTCTCGGCAGCGTCTGCCGTCTCTACCAGCGATTTTGCGCTGGATGCGATCGTCATCGACGAACCTTAGTCACTCCTTTCACATACTATTCGAATTGGAGCGAATACCAACCTGCTCCTCCCTCCCTTGGCCTCCGAATCTCGGTATCGAAACCCCGCATTGATCAGGTCGCTCGAGTCAGACACCTGTTAATACTCCACTCTGCCACTGGAGAGCGACTTGCTACAACAGGCGTCATCGGACATACATTCAACTGCGATGGACGGTATAGGGGACGGAACAGAGAGCATGGGCTTCGATATGCCCATGCTGATGAATCAGCAACCTCATTTGTTCGGATCATATGGGCATGATGGCTCTCCCGTCGCTCCCATGTTCTCCAATCCCACCTTCCACGATGAACCTTCAATCGGGACGGCGGATGATAACAGTGATGCCAAACGGAGAAGGATTGCGAGGGTGAGTGGAGAACCGCCTCATGCTCCAAAGTCAAGCTTCCCCCGTTGACTTACTGTCTTTGAGGTAGGCCTGCGACATGTGTCGGAAGAAGAAAATCAAATGCGACGGCAAGATGCCCAAATGCTCGCATTGTACCAACTATAAGACGGATTGTGTGTTTACCCAGGTTGAGAAAAAGCGAAATCCTCCTAAAGGGTATGCTTACTTCTCTGCTTCTCGTCTGAATGCCTATGCTGACTTTCGCATCGCGATTAGTGCCAAGTATATCGAGGGCCTTGAAAACCGTTTAGGGAGGATGGAGTCTTTACTACGCCTGACTGGTCTCTTGTCAGAAGACGATGGAGGAAAAACAGACCTTGGAACGCTGGAGAAGCGTCTTGCTGACCGATATCACGCAACTGGTTCCAATAATCCGCATAACCCGCATAAGATCAACATCCCCAGCCAGAGTCAGACCGCCCCGTCACAACAAAATAGCTCATCTCACTATTCTACTCCTCGTGTGGAGTCTCAATCAAGCCCACGCACAGCTGCTACGTCCCCGGAATCGCAAAAGGAGTCAGAGACGGAGGTTGAAGGCCTGTCAGACATGATGTGTTCCCTCGTAACAAATAATTGTGGGGAAACGCGATACATCGGTAACATATCAATAACTTACGCGGTGATTGAGATAAAATACTGACAGTTCTGATCACAGGGTCATCATCAGGTTTCTCGATCTTCTCTCCCAAAGGCATCCAATGGGTCAATGAGAAAACAGGCGACACCTCATTTCAAGACATGATTTCATCAGCCTATGTAGATGATAACAAATGGATGTACTGGAAGCCCGAAATCTTTAGCGATATATTTGCTCGCCGCGTGTTCAAGCCGTTGCCACCGAAGGATGAAGCCATGTCACTTTTCAAAGACTTCTTCGACAACTTCAACTGTATGTTTCCGCTCTATCACGAGCCGACTTTCATGCACCTGGTCGAACGACAATATTCCCGAGATCCTTACGAAGGTTCTGGCTGGTGGGCCAGCATCAACGTTGTGCTAGCCATCGCTCACAGGCTACGAGTCATGAGCAATCTGGTGCCGCAAGAAGAGGACAGGAAAGCTTGGCTGTATTTGAAGAATGCCATGGGAGTGCTGACGGAACTGACCATGCGGAATACGGATCTTCTCAGTGTTCAAGCACTGCTTGGAATGGTATGTTTTAGAAAAAATGTGAGGTACGCATTACGGTTGGTTGTGCTGACAACAAATCAGTCTCTTTTTTTGCAGGGGACTCCAAACCCCCAGCCTTCCTTCTTCTTGGTTGCGGCGGCAATCAGACTATCTCACAGCATCGGTCTCCATAAGAGAGGTTCGGGCTTCGGACTGAACCCAGTGGAAGTTGAACAACGAAAGAGAGTTTTCTGGATTGCCTACCTTCTTGACAAAGAGTAGGTAGAACTAAACCCAATTATCTATCACTTGTGCTAATCTGCCACATAGCATTTGTCTCCGCTCCGGGCGTCCGCCGGTACAAGACGATGACGACATGAATGTCGAATTACCAAGCGACGATCCACCCGACAACATTGGCAATGTCCCATTATCTGACGGTAGAAGCAAGTTTAACTTGTTCCGATCCATGTGTCGCTTCGCTACTATTGAAAGCAAGGTGTACAAACGGCTATACTCCGCCAAAGCCTCAAAACAGTCTGATGGCGAGCTTCTGAATACTATTGGGGATCTCGACAAGGAACTCGAAGACTGGAAGGACAGTATACCCCTGGATTTTCGGCCGGAACATGAAATCAAGGCTTCGCACACCCCTCTCATCCTCCATGTCGTCGTGCTACATTTTGCCTACTATAACTGTTTAACGACCATCCACCGCATGTCTGTGCATCATGGTTATTGGACAAGCCGTCTCTCCAATTACGCTATCCAGGGTTTGAATGCCAGGCCCTTGAATCCTAGGGTCTTCTTATCGGCAGTACTCTGTGTTACTGCTGCCAGGGCGTCTATCAACCTAATCAAATACATTCCGCAGGGTGATTTCGCTTGTGTCTGGTGAGTGCATTGTTCTCAGGAAAAATATCGCACTTTTAAGCTAACGATACTCGATACTCAGGTTGATACTATATTATCCCGTGTCAGCTCTGGTCACACTCTTTGCCAATATTCTCCAGAATCCCAGTGATGCTCGCGCTCGATCAGACGTCAAGTTGATGAATGTAGTCGTCAATTTCCTGTCAACATTGGTCTCGGATGAGTCGAACGG